CTATGATGATACAGAGCTGCCAACTAGTACGGATTTCCCGTAATTGGTACGGAAATTAACGACCATTACGGAATGTTGTTTAAAATTACGGATTTAAAAAAAAAAAAAAAAAAAAAAAAAAAAAAGATTTTTTTTTTTTTTTTTTTTTTTTTTTTTTTATATATATTTTTTTCCCCCCCATTTTTCCTGGAAGACTGTGTTGTGATGATATGAAACTCATTATTTAACAACTTTGTGTGAGTAAAATCACCAAAAATGTCAGATAATCATGTGTCTGTGCAATGTTGGCGTGCCGTTTTTATTAGAGTCATAGCGCCGCATAGGAAATTACTGATTTATACCCAAAATTACTGATTTTGAGCCTTGTGATTACTGATTTTCGGTTCTGGAGGTTGGCAGCTCTGATGATATTCATTGACGTAACAATGGAAAGGTTTCAATAGGCCCTACTCATACTTTCGAATATATTCATCTGTAAGATTTGCCAGTTTACACTAAAATTTATCCCCCAAATATTCTTAAAAAGATATCGGACCTGTTCACACAATCAATTTTTTTCTTCATATAGGTATACATTAATCCACATTTGATTCTCTGAAGGGTTTTGGTTAAGTGCTCTAAAAAATGTTTGTTATGTTTGATATCGTTTGTTAACTTTTTTTGAACTTATATTGTAAGTAACCATGGTAACTGGTATCTACTCGCCCATACATCCTGATTTTCAATGGGGATAGAAAATGCCTGTTACATCCGAGGAAGTCGTGTTCGAACGTGTTTTTACGTTGTATTATTCAAGATACTTAAAAAATAGTGGGAAGAAAAAAATAAGGAAAATGCGAAGGACAAGATATATATTTAAGATAAACCATATTTCGATGAGACAGATCTAGATTCTTCTGTTATGATAGCAATAAACAATTAAACATGCCTAGACACGTTTGCGGTTGTAAATCATAACTTACAAAGGATTTTCAGGAGTAAGGGTTAGGTCAAATAGATACAATTAAATAGAACACTCTATTAAAAATAATATACAGGCCTTTTGGTTTCCTTTTAAAAAACTACTTCACTGTTTCTTTATGCATGCTTCTACTTTAAATGTAACTCAAATACGTTTGCTTAAAAGGCCAAGGTATATTATTTAAAAAAATAATACTTTTCACCAAAACATTTTTACGAGAGTTAATTATATCTATATCGGTGTGATTTTCTAGGCAAATACTTTATGGGTCCGTATCATATTTTTATCGTTTAAGAAAACCAATTTGAATTTTTATTGCAAAGTGTTGTTTCGAATGGGTCTTCATTTACTGGAAGCACCAATCTTTTGTCTGTCTCATTTCAAAACTATTAATTTTTCATTCTGTGTTCAATTATGACTTTTTAATTATTATTATTATTATTATTATTATTATTATTATTATTATTATATTGTTATTATTAATATTATAGTCATCACTTTTATGTTGATGATTATGATTATTATTATTTATTTGACCAATCGGAAATCATACAATGAGTATAACAATCAGATAATACATTTCATAATACATGCAAACAGTTTTAGGAAAGTGGAGAGGAGAAAGAAGGATACAATCTGCTGGTCAGGGATGATATTAAAAGCAATTGAAATTGCTATTACTCGAAAGCATGTCACGTCGCCCCAAATGATAATGATGATTATAAAGACGATGATGGTGGTGGTGATGATGATAGTTATGATAATTATAATCATCTTCATCTTCGTTCATATCAGTATTTCACTTCATCTAAATATTTCACTGAAATGTTTACACCGTTGTTCGAGCTCTCCTCATACTTCATACTATCCTTGCTCCCCTGATATCTCTTCACAAACCCTGCTCGATGATTGAATTAGTCAACGGGGCACGTGGATATATACTTGACTTTTCGTTCATTCAAAAATGATGACAAAACCCGAGCTTAGACCTCTCTTTTGATTAACATAAATCAAGATAATTACCTTTTCATTATCCCCAAAGTACTAAACCTGACACACTCATGCCCTCAGTCACACCGAGGCGCAAGACACGAGAGGCCTGTTTCATTATCCCTATTTGTTATCAGGAACAGGGGCCCGTTTCATAAAACTTTTTATCAATAACAAATGCTTAATTTCTATGATAAATTTGCTCTCAGCCAATCAGATACCTTGATTCAGTAGCTTATAACGGTAGCTTGTATCATGTTATTGATATCAAGTTTTATGAAACAGGGCCCAGATTCCCTTCTATCCGCTCCCAGCCAATCAAATGTTTAGATTGCAGTTGCTTAGAGACTTCGGTGGTAAGCGCTTTATAAGTAACGTTTTTATTATTATTATTATTAATGATTGTTGTTTGATATTGATAACAACTTTTTTTTTAAGGGCCGATATAAACAATAGACCGAAGAAGAAAAAAAATCCCCTAAATAGTGTGAGCAACAGGACCGACACAGGACCGAAACAAACATTACGTTACCCTAAATGGCCGAGAATCTGTTAGTTTAGAGTTGGTTTGGAGTAGGTTAGCGGTTTCTGAGATATTATAGGTTGTCGGATGATTTATTTCGGTTTAGCGGTATGACTAGGGTATCAGATTTTTGTAAATATTATCGGATTATTTGAAGTTGGTCTGCTTTGTGACCGGGGTTTCAGACACGCATCTCAGGTCGTGCCGATCGAGCGCGGGGACGCGCGGGGATCGGGATGTCTGGAGAAAGAGTTTGTTCTCGTTACCATGGTTACCACGTCTCGTGTGTGAATGAAAGAACAGCATCTCGTCATAAATGCATCGTACGGCTGTTGCTGGGCGTTATTATTAGACAAGAAATAGGGGAACGTGTTCCTTTTTTTGGACTTGCTACACTATAATGAGTCAAGCAGCTTGGAAACGCTCTGAAGCTCTACTACAAGGGAAGGGAAGGTGAAACAGAGTTTATTTTGACTTTCATCAAAATAACAGATTTCAGTTTTGGTACCCTACCTAACCTGTTTTGGCTATGACGCATATCAACCAGTTTTTCTTCCTCTTCTTTTAACACACTGTAATATATATATGTATACAAGTAGAACAAAATGCAATCTTGGTTTTTAAGAAGTTTCAACAATGCACTCTATGCGGGAAGCGTGTGGTATGGTTAATTTGATTTGACTAGAAAACGGTTACGGTCAAACCTGTTTAGAAAGACCACCTACATGAGACACAAACATCGGTCTTTATAGGCAGGTAGTCTTTACTTTCTGAACCTTCTGAATTTGGAGTCAGCAGGGCGGTATTCCGCATGTCGCTAACTTGTACTGGGGGGTGCAGGTGGACCACTACACCGGGGTTTCCCCCTACTCTTATACGAATAGTGCAGTGGGTTCTTAACGTGCAAAGGTAGTGACTCTTCTCTACACGGGGCCTCCATTTAACGTCATATCCGAGGGAAAACAAAACAAAACATGTGGTCTTTATATTTATGGACGGGCAGCTGATAAAAAACAGCCTGGACTGTATAATCAAATGCCAATGGTATTGTTCATTGAACTATAAGATGATTTTTTTTTTCTTTATTAATTTTTTTTATATTTATCCCTCATAATTTAAAAAGAGCGGCCCGTTCAGATGACCAGCTTTTTCATAGGGCCCTTAACGTGAACAAATTGAAATTCCAAAAATAAATGAACGTAATCAACAAATCAATATCCACATTTAACAGTGAAAACAGTTCGGGTATATCAAAGAAAAACCCACCAAGAATAGGATCAAGAAAAAGGCGTGGAAGAAAGTGAAATATATCGACCATGCGATGAGGAGGCAAGTAGTGTGACAGACTAAACAGGAAGCTAAAGTTACACTGGAGAAAAGAGAAATGTAGGGATATATGGAGTGACTAATATGTTCAAATAAACATTAAATATATATTTTACAAAAGTATAGAAAATCAATAAATATAAAAGTATTCAAAGTATAAACAAATACTCATCTTATAAATCGCATGTATCCTTAGCATATTTTGATATCTGTTGAAGTACATGTATACCCGTATTACGATGTTCATGTATTATTTGATTTTCTTATACCACATCCAGCCAAAGACCCGCTATCAACATCAAACATAATTATGTAAACCATGATTGCTCTGCACAACCCTTTAGAAACATTAGTTTTGTTTTCCTTATATCACTCTTGTAAAATGCTATCAAACTTTTCGACCCTCATATCTCTTTTAATTATCAGGAATGTAATCGTCGATGATAGGATAATAAAGAATGTGTTTATTATCTAAATCTAGTTTTAATAGCATACTTTATTGATTTATGAATTAATTTGCTTGTGATCTCAATCTAGTTTTAATAGCATACTTTATTGATTTATAAATTAATTTGCTTATGATCTAAATCTAGTTTTAATAGCATACTTTATTGATTTATAGCTCCAGTGGACTATCAACATCCATGCAGTGTTATCTTTGCCAATTTATGCAAACATTGTTTTCGATCATGATTTACGGTGACATAAACAAAAAGCAAAACTATCGGGAGAATTAAACTTCGTCTGAGAAAAATCGATAAGAGTGGCCTTCTTTCCTGACTTTCGTTTTCAGTTCAAAACGCGCCAATTTCAACGAAATGAGGACCAAAAGATAATGAATGCCGATGTGAATTAATAAAGTAACGCCAATGTTTATAATTTAGGAGGGGAGACAAATACAAATGATGTAGGTCAAATTTATTGACATTTGAATCCATTTTCAATGAGCATGAACAGGAGCCATGGGACGTTTTAACGTGTACTTTTTGAAGAAGAAAAAAAGAAGAAAAATACCCAAGAATAAAGTCACGACATATTACTGGGTTTTCAACAGGATTCGCTGTTACTCTGACTTTATCAGTTATTATCCTCAAGAATTTCATGATAGAAAATTAATCATAAAAGCAGTATATTCTTCAGTAATATAAAACCAATGGAAATACAATATAATCATTTAAAAAATATGAATTCTCTTTGCAGCCCAGATCAAACCTGAACACTTCACCATGACGGCCAGCCCTGGCGATAACATAACCATTACCATGCAGATAACGACCCGAACCCGCACCCCTGATTACCTCATCTGGGCACACGACGAACTACCACTCCCCTATAACGCAACCCGCTTCGGATTCAACGACAGGTACATTATACCAGCGGTGGGGCAAGGAGATGCGGGCATCTACCAGGCGTACCCACCCGATGACCACACCCTAGGCGGCTACATGAGACTCATTGTCAGGGGTAAGATGGTGACGACGACACCCTTGGTGGTGGTGGTGGTGGTGATTGTGGTGGTGGTGGTGGTGGTGGTGGTGGTGGTGGTGATGGTAGTGGTGGTGGTGGCGGTGGTGGTGGTGGTGGTGGTGATGGTGGTGATGGTAGTGTTGATGATGGTGGTGGTGGTGGTGGTGGTGGTGGTGGTGATGGTGGTGATGGTAGTGTTGATGATGGTGGTGGTGGTGGTGGTGGTGGTGGTGGTGGTGGTGATGGTGGTGGTGGGGATGGTGGTGGTGGTGATGGTGGTGGTGGTGGTGGTGGTGGTGATGGTGGTGGTGATGATGGTGACGAATTTCCCCGAGATATCATGCCACAGCTATGCAGATGACACACAGCTTTATGTATCATTCAGACCTGATGAACATGCTAAAGAGCGATGTGTCTCACTTCTAGAAACATGTGTTGACTATGTACGTGGATGGATGTTGCAAAATAGACTCATGCTTAATGATGGTAAAACTGAATTAATGATCATTGGCACACCTAAACAGACATCCAAAATCAACTTAAACAGTGTATCAATTGGAGACTCTGTAAGAGAACCATCTGTTAGTGCAAGAAATCTTGGAGTACAGTTCGATTCGAATTTGAATATGAGAGAGCACATCACAAATGTTTGTAAATCAGCATACTACATGATCTGTAATCTCAGACGTATTCGTACATATTTAGATAAGGACATTACGAAAGACATTGTTCATGCATGTATCACCAATAAGTTGGACTATTGTAATGGTCTACTGTATGGGATCCCTGACTCTCAAATAGTGAGATTGCAACGGGTTCAAAACACCTGTGCAAGGCTGATCTGTGGTTGCTCCAAATTCACACGGATCACCCCAATGTTAAGAAATCTACATGTGTTACCAGTACGCCAGAGAATAAAATTCAAAATCTTGCTGATTGTTTATAAAGCACTTCTTGGTCAAGCTCCCACTTATGTCAAAGAACTGTTGAATTTCAAACCTAATCAACACAATCGCAACTTGCGCAGTTCCCGAGATATTTTTGTTGCTGCAGATCCCATCTATCAAAACGAAAATAACGCTAGGTAATCGAGCATTTGCTCGTGCAGCCCCAAAACTCTGGAATGACTTGTCTTTTGAAGTCAGGAAATCACCATCTGTAAACATGTCTTTAAATCGAAACTGAAAACACATCTTTTTAATTAACTGTAAATCTAAGCATATCAGGAGCTCTTGTAGCGCAGTAGAATATATACTTAATGTTGGATAGTTTCTGTGCTCTATAAATGTATTATTATTATTATTATTATTGTGGTGGTGGTGGTGGTAGCGATGGTGGTGGTGATGGTGATGGTGATGGTGATGGTGATGGTGATGGTGATGGTGATGGTGATGGTGATGGTGATGGTGATGGTGATGGTGATGGTGATGGTGATGGTGATGGTGATGGTGATGGTGATGGTGATGGTGATGGTGATGGTGATGGTGATGGTGATGGTGATGGTGATGATGATGGTGATGATGATGGTGATGATGATGGTGATAGGGTTGGTGATGGTGATAGGGATGGTGATGATGGTGATCATAATGATGATAATCATAGAATTGGTTGTGAGAAAATGATGGGTTAAGGAGAGAAAACAATTGGATTGATAACGAAGAAGATAATGATAATAAAAATGACCATAATAAAAACTTACGAGTGATAAGAGAATATAATTTTTTCTTTTTTTTCCTTGCTCTCTTTATTTTCTCTCTCTCTCTCTCTCTCTCTCTCTCTCTCTTTCTCTGCTTAATGTGTGCTTTTTTTGTTGTTCAATATTAATATTCATCATGTGCTCGTTAACACAATTATAGATTTTACAACCATATCTCCCTTTTTTCAGGTTGCCCTGCTGAACGTTGGGGCACTGGATGCACCAACGAATGCCCGACATGTAGTAACGGAGGAGAGTGCGATGACGTCACAGGGGTGTGTGTTTGCCCCCCTGGGTTCCACGGTGATACCTGTGAAATAGGTGAGATATAAGAACATTGCTTTGTTTATTACTATACGGGTTCTTATATAATTCTCATGTGAGCGTGAAATAATTGATGATACTAAAAAGTAAGAGTATAAAATGTTTTACAAAAAGTGTATTAAAACCCTCCTATATACTGCGATTATTACACAATTGCGAATGATAATATACCATTATATACTCTAATAACTGAAATGTTAAATCACCATTTCAAAGGGCCGAGGAGTGACCACTCTTTCAAAAACTCTTTCAAAACCTGCTAGATTCAACCTTTAAAATGTTGGATTTATTATGTTCAAATTGTTAATCGACCATTTTTGAAAAAGTGGTCACTCCTCGGCCCTTTTAAATGAGATTTAACATTTCATTGATTAGAGTGAACTAACCATGAGAACGCCGTTTAACTAACCTGGTGCATGAATATCATATTCCGAATATTGATCCACTCAAGTCTAATTTATGAATATAGCTAATTATTCTTTAATCATGCTTCTATTTTCTCACCTTCATATTTTGTGTCCAGGTTGTGGTGCGAACGTGTATGGATCCAGCTGCGAGCATGAGTGCACAGGTAACTCATGTCGGTTCATGCAGTTCTGCCTGCCCGACCCTTACGGGTGCTCTTGCGCCACTGGCTTCGCTGGCCTCGCCTGTAATAAAGGTAAGATTTTTGTTTTAAACTTGTCCTTTCAGTGGCGCCGGATCTAGGGTTCGCTGGGGGGGGGGGGGGGGGGGGGGGGGTGATGGGGAATGTGCCGATATTTCTACACAATTCCCTGACTGCCTGACAAGGCAAAAAAAAGTAAGCATTAGTACATGCTTCTTCTTTTCTTCCTGCATTTCTTTCTTTCTTCCTTATTTCCTCCCCCACCCCCTTTTTTCTTTTTTCTGTATTTTTCTGTTTCCCTTTTCCATCTCTCTTTTGCTGGGGGCGTACCCCCTGTGCCCCCTTTATATCACCACTGATTTTAACCCATTTTAATTCTGTTTTGCACCAATGGTATATACGTAGAGATGTTGTGATCCAGACGATAAGTCCCCGGACTGTCCATCACAAGGTTCGGGGTTCAAATACACTGTAAAAAAATAATAGTCGAAATAACTCAATAAAATTGAGTAAAAGAATTGCCTTATTTTTATTAAGTAAATATTACCTACGGCATCTTAAGTAGAATTTACTTATTTTGCTTAATAAATTTTTACTCAGTTAAATCGAGTTACATTAACGTAGATAATTTAAGTATTGTAATCATTTAGATAATTTAAAAAAAAGCTATGATAGGTTTACATATTGCATGATTTGGTACCCATCTAATCTAACAAGTAACATCCACTAATCATTCACTTCTTCCATTTAAGATTAATCACTAATCACTAACACATACGCTTCAATTCGATACATATTGAAAGGCTCCAAATTTTATATATACTTGATCGTAGCATCTTAAAAGGAAAATTGGTTGACAATTTCCTGAAATATCAAGTTTTGATTTGTTTTGAACTGGGTAACAATTAAAAATTGTCTTGTCTTTGCTTAGCCATGTTAAATGAATTAGTAAATGTTTTAAAGTCCTTAAATTTTCATTCAACCACAAAAAAGAATTGTTTTATTTAAAAAAGAGTTTAATTTGGTCTTAATGAATATTCATAAAATATGTAAATATTTCTATTACGCACTGCATCGGTCCTTACTTTAAAAAAATAAGAATAATCAACATAAATTGTTTGAGTAATACGTATAATTTCTGATTTTGAGTTAAAATTACTAAATTAATACAAGCTGAAATTACTTAAAGTTCTTATGTATTTGATTTTACTTAAATATTCCACGTATGTTCTACTAAATTGAAAGTTTGAGTTAGCAAGACTTAAATTTAGTGCGTAAGTGGCAAAACTAATGTTTTCAAGTAAATTCTACATGGAAAAAATACGTAAAAATTACCAATGAACAAATACTTTTTTACAGTGTACTAGCCATGGTACTAATGTCCTTCGGCAAAACTTTAATCTTTATATGTCAATCTCCACCTAGGTGAGGTAAATGGGTACCCGGTAGGAAAAGATTCCTTGTATGCTAATATCATGGTAGCTCACATTAAGCACCTTATCAGGGAGCGACTTGGCACCTGTATAAAGCTAGGGTGAAATGATACGATACGTTATAATGAGCGCAGTAGCATCTATAATTGTTAAGTAGCTGCGCTATGTAAATTCATATATCAATTTACCTATTTTATATTTTTATTTGATATGTGAACGATGAAGTTCTCTGAATCTAAAACGTTAAAACCAAGTCCTTCCCCTATTAAACCCTTAACGTGTAATTATTTCTGTTTCCTTGTCTGTTCACGAATTCAAACTTCTTTTCTAACTTCGGGACTTTATTCCGTTCATTGACATATTTTAATCTATATTGATTATGAATAATACATCCGTTATCCCTGGGGTACTGGAGCCTTACTCTGTTAATTGATTATGAAAAATAGAAATTGATTGGAAAAACATCCGTTTTGTGGTCCTAGTTAACATTGCAAATCCATTAAGTAATTGCGAGGTAAACTACAACGGTTAAAACATGTTTCCGATCACGTCTTAGCCTAGCCGTGGCATGAGGAAGATAAATCATATTCTTTCCTGTTTTTTATCCTTAAATCTTCCAGCAGCATCACTAAGACAATAGCAATATCGATTTCGACACTGCGCAGACTCTTTTTTTTTGGGGGGGGGGGGGTCTGTCAATATGGTTTAACTGTTCCTGGAATTATGATATCGTTATGAAACTTGCCTAATGCATTTCCGTCTGCGTTTAGTCACCGAGCCTAGTTTCTGTTGAAAGTCACATTGAGATCAATATAGCTGTGTAAAATTATGATTGCATGCGTGGGGTGTATGTCCTTTTGGCAAGGCATATACATTTCCCACTCTCCACCCAGGTGATGTATACACGTACCCGGCAGAAAGGGATTTCTAGAATATCAGAGCACCTGATCTGCGGCTCATGACTTAATGGAAGTGTGTTTTAGTGTTAAATTAGAGTCGGTGCATGCTGACTAAGGGTGAGATTAGGTTTTAGGTTAGCTTCAGGGTTAGGTTTAGGTATAGGTATAGAGTTGGGTCTAGGGTTTGAAGTTATGAATTATACTTGTGTGACCGGGGACCGGCGGGCGTTATTTTTTTCGGCGGCACAGATTGGGGTTAGGAGCGTGTTGAGTCTATGGGAAAGTGTAGGGTTAGGGTTAGGGTTAAATCAAGATCCCTTTTAACAAAAAAGCCCCAATCTGTGCCGCAGAAGAAAATAACGCGACCGGGGGGGGGGGGGGGGGGGTTCTCGCCAGCGCGTAAGTCAGACAATATGGCGCCGGGCATGTATAACAGTTTTGTGACCTTTCACTTTTTTGTTTTACCTGTTTACAGTTCATTGTAGAATTATATCCTATATAGCAGTTAACTCGGATTGATTTTCACAGTATATTGAACTGAAATTGATTCATTGGGGGAAATCAGAAAACGTCACTTACAGGATTTCCCTAGAATTTCAGAGGAAAAGATATCTTGCAACTACCGTTATGTGCATAATTCCATCCAACTGCGGTTTCCCATTCCTTTGTGTGTTTAAGACCCTATTGTGTGTTTGTCTGTCTCAATTTGTTATAAAATTAATGATAAAAGAATAAATCGCCTTTCAGATTACATGAAAATGAACAAATTACTATGAAGGGCTTTGTTTGAGCTCAGAATGAGATTTTAATTCATAAACCCTGATTTTTTTAGTTCATTCCAAATTCATCGAAGAAGTATCCTATAGCATGATGGGAAAAGTCAGTGAAAGAAGAATACTGTAGACCACGACAAATAAGGGCGAGAAGGTATTCTACCAGAAATTGGATCCACTTAATGTTTTTCTGAATCGCTCGTGAAAGAAAAAGTAGGCTTACAAAATAATCTAGATTAATCAGTATTTTCACATCTATGAGTCACTACTAAAGTGTTTTTGTTGAGACTTGGTGGTTTATTTAACAACTGTATATCATCAAAACACACCAAACAAGCAAACAACAAACGGAATTGTGACTGAATGAACTGTCGGCATAGCCAGAGATTGAAATTTACAATATTTAGTCGTTAGATTGACGTGTATAGATTAGAAAAACGTCGATATAATAAACCAGACATTGATTTGAAAGGGATTTCAAAAGGATTTTGTCGGCTTTCTTACTAAGGAAAAGATTATTTGCATTTCCGGACAATATTATTATACAGGCGTATAGACATATTAACACCTTCTGGAAACCTTGCTGATAAGTTGAAGGACTAGGGTAGAAGGGAAATGGTCATGAAAATGTAGTTTTTATGATCATTATTCTTCAGTCAATATGTATCATGGACTCACCAGGTAGGGTTCGTAAGGAAGAAGAAGAAGAAGAAGAAGAAAACCGATTTCTGCCTAGTTTGGGCATCTAAACGCTTATACTCTTTGAGCATTTTTAGAAGTAGTAGTAGTAGTAGTAGTAGTAGTACCAGCAGCAGTAGTAGTAATAGCAGCAGCAGCAGCAGCAGTAGTAGTAGTAGTAGTAGTAGTAGTAGTAGTAGTAGTAGTAGTAGTAGTAGTAGTAATAGTGGTAGTAGTAGTAGTTGAAGTAGTAGTAGTAGTAGTATTTCATTCGGCACATCATGATAGAAACGAAACTCCTTATAAATGATGAAAATAACAGATGAAATATAAAGTTTTCTTGAGCATGCTCCCTAAATAAAGCTGCCATGTTGGAAGAAAAATCAACCAATTTAAATCACTCTGGTCATCCGGCCTTACTCCGGACTTTGTAGAGTATACCAAAAAGCACTAAATCAAAGTTTCATGTGATATAACGAGATAGATTAAGAAGAAAACGACATAATTTCAAACACTATTAAGGCGTTAATACTATCGTTCAAAGTGACCAATTTGATGACTTTTTAACATCATTTTAATGATCATCCTAGCACAACAACGAGACATAATAAACCAAGACAAAACCAAATAATAGGTAGATTCATGCAGGGCTATTTAGTGTCATATTGGACAAAATATGCCATAAAGGACATTGTTATAGAAAAAAACATGTGTAAACATTTAAAAGAATCGATTTAAAAATAGATATAATGGGTAATATCAATGAACCAAACAAAAGTGAAGATCATCATAAATGCATGTACTATTACTACTATGCTATTTGTAATGATGATATTAGGAATATACAAAAACAAAATGGTGGCACGAATAGAGTGCGCAATTGTGTTTCTATGAACTATTGTGGAGTGGTTTCTGATCTACATCGAAAAGGATGTTTACGGGTTTGTATTTGAAGTGTCAATTGATTAATCTGATTTCTATCGGAATTGTCCACTTACTCTTCTTTCCTGTTTAACTCAGACAGAAGTAGGTTTATATTTGAAGGGTCGATGAATCAGATTGGTTTGGGTTAGAAAACAAAATGAGTCATATTGATTTGATTTGATATTTCATTTCATTTAATTTCATTTATAACAGCAAATAAAGTTTACAAAGCTTTTAGTTTAACAAAGTCATTCCAATTGAAATATTAACAAACGAGAAATATACATAACATGGTACGTGCAATGCAGTAAAAGTATTCAATAGAAGCAAAACAAATCAGACAAGCCGTTAAAAAAAGTTTGAGCAAAATCGGATAACTAATAAGAAAGTTATGAATTTTCTATTGAAAGTAAGTTATTTTTGGAGTAGACTTGTACTTTAAGTCCTGTAAGAAAAAAACTCTCATGAATTTCTTTTAGCTGAACGCCCTTGGAAGCCCTTTACATCAGGAAGTTTTAAGAATTGACCCTTGCAGTCTTGAAGTCATTACAAGTCATTGATTCAACTCTTCTTGAAGAGGAAATATACAATACTATAGTCCCTATTTTTAATAAAAGGCGCAATTTTCCTGAAATTCAACGAAGCGTGAATCCTTCTTTTACCCGGCTGGGACATTTCCTTGTTACACTTGCGACTACGTGTTTACCGGGCACGAAATCTTATTTAAATCAATACATTGTACTTTTTGTAGATCGTTAACATATTTTAACAAGGACCCTATTTTGTATAGCTTTAAGAAAGAATCTAAAACAACCTGTTGAAATGTAGGGAAGAAAGTTTCTCTCGTTTGCCTTGGATGCCATATGTCTTTTAGTGACGCGAAAGAATGCCCAGCATATTTTCCTGAAAGAGATGGTTGAGTTCCGGGGAGAGGTGAAAAGTATTTTTGTGAGCGTTATCATTGTTATTATTCAGGTGTGGAAGAACATCAGAAGAAAAATGTTCCCTGAAAAGCATGGCTTTTAAAATGCTTCCCTATTCTAAATAAGACAAGTAACAGCTTAAAAACGAGGCCCCAATTTTATGGCACATGCTTGTGTATTCCCATATATATCTTTCTGTGTACAGTGCTTGTTACTTTACCAAAACTGGGTCAAATTTCTTATCATTTTGATGATTCAAGAACCTTGCACTGAGTAGACACCAATACTAAATATGCTACATGATCAACTTTTTCTGATCGATTCCACACCGTTTCTTTCACAATGCAATCGCATGACCAGAACTCAACTTTATCTTTGATATTCTAACCTTGTTAAAACTAATGCACACATACTTTACTAAAAATCAGCAGTTTACAAGGAAGAAGTTACTCGATTGAAGAAAAGAAAAAAGCTAAAGAAATACATTGGAGCATGATATTTCCTCTTCGTCTGTGAGCCCGTTCGAATGTACCTGGTATTTCTTGGAATTTCGTTCTCAAGTCGACCATAAAGATTAATTTTGTGCGTGAAATCATAATCGAGCTATGTTTACTTTATATACGAAGGGGAAATATCCGTCGTCGTTTTCGGACGAGGAGGAAAACTGAAACAAAGATTCCTAGATTAGTGTTCACTGAAAACTTTAATCACAGAAAGCCATTATTCCAATTTGCAGATTTGACACATTAAGTAAATTCCAGAGCGATAGAGAGAGAGAGAGAGAGAGACACTTGAGAGAAAGAAAGATAGAGATACGTAAAAAAGAGAGAGTGAGAGAGAACGGAAGAGAGAAATAGAGAAAGAAAGAGAGAGAGAGAGAGAGAGAGAGAGAGAGAGAGAAATAGAGAGAGAGAGAAAAAAAAGGGGGGAGAGAGAGAGAGAGAGAGAAAGAGAGAGAGAATCTTCATGGTCGGTCCGTCCATGTTGTAAGACGCTTTTCATGTCTGTGGTATAATGTTTAGGGACGTTTTAGATAAACTCACTTAATTATTATACAATTCCGTACAAAAGTCATGTCATAAACTGCATTTTGCCTTCACATTTCCATCAGAAGAATAATTATTTCCCCAATCATCTCCCTTGCGCGGTTGCGCCAGGCTTATTATATGAATAGCTAGACGATTTCCTTAAATGACTATAAGCAATATTTCTGCAGCTCAGTTCGATCAAGGGTAACAATACGGAGCACGTAGCTTGTTTTCAAGAGACCTCGGAATTGATGTTCATCACGTGACAGAACACAAAGGATTGTAATTGTTATCCCCACTGCTAAGCCAGCTTTGTTTTTTCGCGGTATCTGTTTGTAAAGTACAGTTTATTTAAGGGGTAAGGTTGATGGAAAAACCCAACCAAAAGTTTGAAACAAATCTTCTTCTTTTTGGTCACCTGTTGGTAGATGGGTTTCCTTCCTGACAAACAGGAAGTGAATCGGGGTCAGAGGTCACTTTGGTCTATACGATAGTTTCAAGCTGAACAATACCATGACTACTGTTTTATGAAACACAAACTGTTGCACGTAGATTCTTAACCTCTTTTATTGAAACGACCGTGACAGTATGATTAGTTCTTGAAAGATACCGTTCATGTCTTCACGGAGTATTTTAAGTTAATTGTTATGACTCATTTAGATTGATCAATAAAGTTCGGAGAAGATATAAACTTTATTTATCAAGAATAATCATATTGCCACAATCATGTCATGAAAAGTAGTAACAATAATGACAACAGTGTATATGAGGCTGGAGGTGGGGGGGGGGGGGGGAGGGGACACGTCCCCCAACTATAGCGGGCCTCGCTCCTGTTACATGCTAACTATTGCAGGCGTGTTGCCCTGTCCCGCAGAAATTTGATAAGCTTTTCTGTTTGTCTTGTTTTTACTTGCTTTGTGCAAAAAGTGTGCATAAACGTAGTAGACATGGCCCATTATTCATAACATCTTACTAAGTCTAATTGTAAACTAACTATAGTACATGACACAAGCTTAGTACGGTTTTATGAATACTGGCCCAAATCTGTCGAATATCGGTTTTAGTTTCACAACCTGCTTTTCAGTGACCCTGTTGTTCTGGTTTCGATAGAAGTGTGTAAAGGTAATTAGTGGTTAATGGTAATGATCTTATATCCATGTCAGCCATTGGTTAATCCATTACCATAGGGATGTGGTAAACAAAGTTAAGGTCATTGTTCTTAGAAATTAATTTACATTTGAAATAACAAACATGTTTTGGACACTCCTGTTATTGTTTTTATGGTGATTAATGAGGATGCCATTGACTCAATAGGGTTTCGAAGCAAGATGTGATCACTGTATTAACAAAAGTAAATGATGCAAAATTAGAAAAGGGATTTCCTGAAAATTTTTTTAGGCAAACTACAATGACTTTCGCAGCCTATCGGGTACCGATTTAACACCTGGGTAGAGAGAAGCAATATAGATACAATGCCTTATCGACATAAGTGCCTGTCAAATGTCTAAACCACTCAACTGCGAGACCTAGCCTATACCATGGACCTAGGTCCATGCTTATACCATCTAATTCACCCCCCCCCCCTTTTCTTTTTCATTCTCTCTGACAGCTTGCCCGGATGGTCATTACGGTGCGGGATGTCTCCAGACATGTCACTGTGAAAATGGGGGATTATGCGACCCTTACGCCGGGTGTTTGTGTGTTGGCAACTGGACCGGACCCACATGTGAAATAAAGAGTAAGTATCCCTATTTCAATAGGGAGGGGGAGAGGGGAGATTTAAGGTAGTGTTGTAAGTTATATTGATTGGAAATTTGTAAGGCAGGGCGAGAGATAGAGAGAGAGGGGGAGGGGAAGGAGGGAAGAGAGAGAGAGAGAGAGAGAGCGAGATAGGGAGGGAGAGGGAGAGAGAGAAAGGGAGAGAGACACAGAGAGACAGAGAGAGACAGACATACAGAGCGAGAGAGAGAGAAAGAGACAGACAGACAGACAGAGAGGGAGAGTGAAACTGAAACTTAAATAAGTGGAACTGTAAACGTGCACGACGTGTAGTTGCAAATTTGGTATGCTTTGCAAAAAAAGTAAAATTAAAAATAAATGAAGAAACATATCATTTTTAGCACAATACAGGTTTTAATCAATCAAAAGATAGAGAAATGTCTCAAATTAGTTGCCGGAGTTGGCTAAACATAACAGATCTCATTTTATCATGACTGTTTATTCAGACCATTTTGTTGTATATTCAACGACCCCGAAAGTGAAATGACCCTGTTTATCCTTCTACAAATATATTTCCAGTGTTTATTATCGACACAGAGCCTGATGTTTTGCTGATACCCTCTTCAAAATATTATGGAAATCTTATTAGGAAAATATAAAACCCTCGAGAAGCGTGAGTGAAATCTCATCTGAGAAAATGTGTTCTGGGATATTAATTCAGACTTAGGGATATATATTACAGGCATGGGTTAATACATTTCCAACGTGTCATGTTAAAGGTAAAGACCAGTTATGGTCATGCGATTGCATTGTGAAAGAAACGTTGTGGAATCGATCAGAAAAGGTTGATCATCTAGCATCTAGCATCTGCAAGGTTCTGGAATCATCAAAATGATAAGAAATTTGGCCCATTCTTCGTAAAGTTACAAGCACTATACACAGAAAGATGTATATGGGACTACCCTATATCTCTCACAGACCATGAGAGAAACAAATTTACCAAATATATGAATTAGTAGGCGGTTTCCCGGCAAATTTTTTATCATCATGAATTAGTCAAAACATATTCTTTCACATGATTGGTAATGAGAGCTTCCATTTCATTTTTTGAAATTGGGGCGTTTCCAATACTGGTCTTTACCTTTAAAGCGATTGAAGTCCCTGTTTGCGTTTGGACAATTCACAGAAATAGAATACACAAGACAGATCACTGAGCTCAGCTCCCTTAATATAAAGGGCATTGTTTGGATTTGCACAGTACAAGGATACAGTATTACACAACACACGAACCTTGTTTGCAATGTTGGGGTGCTGGCAGTAAGAAACGACAGATATTTTTTATTCAAATAAACAGTTCTGTTAATGGATGACAGTACTTTTCTAGTGTTTTGTATCGTGTTGTATACAATTTACGGATAATTTTTCCAGATAATATGGTCCATAAACACTTGTGTGGACTTCCAATACTTCATACGTGCAGCTATTTGAACATACCATGTTTACATCACTTACTATCACACCTGGACCCCGTCTTTCAAAGTGTTGAAATTAATCGCAACCGACTTATTTGCGATTGATATCAGTCGCAACTATGTACACGAGAGATAGGAGACTGCAAACTTGCGATTCATTTGGATCAATCGCAATTCTTTGTTAGGCGGGGCCCTGGGGATACAAAACGACCACAGAGATTGTGATCAAAGAGTAGATTTTGAAAAGGCCTACTCCGTGAATGTAACGGTGTGAATATACCTTTTTCACCTTATTTTCTTACGATATGACACAAAGTAAACACAGTTTGAAACACAGGGTGAACACACCACATTTTTGTTTTGACCACAGTCTCGAATTTGAACCCGGGAATCTGAAAACTGTCAATATGCGCTCTCTACGTTCGTTCTGTATCTACGTCTGTAATATCATTGCGAGGCATTGTATCCTCGTACACAAGGCCAGGGCCTACAATGGCGATGATGACTTTATGATGTGCGATACATGCACTATAAAGAAAGAAATGTTGTTGTTGTTGTTGTTTTGTATTATCGGCGTTTCATTCTTTTTTAGAATATTTACGCCTTTCACTTTTTTTTTTACTATTTGTAAATTCGTAATCTTCTAGAATCATAGTTTTTTTTATAATATTATCTCAGATCCACAGGGAGTAGGTATCAACAACTTGTATAACTGATGTTATATTTTGTATTTTTTTTTATCTAGCATGCCCGGATGGCACCATTTATGGCTCTCTCTGCGCAGACTCCGGAGAGTGCCAAAATGGCGGGACGTGTGACCCTTGTCTTGGTTGCCTTTGTACCGAGGATTTGGCGGGACCAACTTGCCAAGAAAAAGGTAACTTAAGTAGTTGTGCGGCACATGCTCCGCGGCAAAACCTCAGGAAAAACACTATACCAAACCTAAAGGTCCGAATTCACAAAGGAGGTTTGTCGACAAACCTTGGTTTTCGTACGTCATATGACGCGTTTTTACGCGCTTTTTACAAACCTGGTTTGTCAAAACGCGTCAAAACGATTATGACGCACGAAAACCAAGGTTTGTCGACAAACCTCCTTTGTGAATTCGGGACATAAAGTCTAACCCAAAATCCAGTTGCAATAATATCCCTATAAATCCTACCCTTATAGTTTTGACAAAAGTAAAGACCGGAGCAATTGCCGCTGGAGCAAAAGTACCAAACAAAAATACCTCTATTGTATATACAACTACTAATCAGATGAAGAATCTAAATTTTATTTTTGTTTGAACCAAAACGCTTTCTTCTAATTTGCTTTTTGTATAGTATCTATGCCATATCTCATCCTCGACCCTGTCCTCTCTTTTGTCCTGTATCTCTCATTTTGTACCTCTGTCTCTCAGTATCTCTATCTCTGTCTCTCATTATCTCTATCTCTGTCTCTCAGTATCTCTATCTCTGCCTCTCAGTATCTCTTTCTCTGCCTCTCAGTATCTCTAACTCTGTCTCTCAGTATCTCTTTCTCTGTCTCTCATTATCTCTAACTCTGCCTCTCAGTATCTCTAACTCTGTCTCTCAGTATCTCTATCTCTGTCTCTCAGTATCTCTATCTCTGTCTCTCATTATCTCTATCTCTGTCTCTCAGTATCTCTATCTCTGCCTCTCAGTATCTCTTTCTCTGCCTCTCAGTATCTCTAACTCTGCCTCTCAGTATCTCTTTCTCTGTCTCTCATTATCTCTAACTCTGTCTCTCAGTATCTCTATCTCTGTCTCTCATTATCTCTATCTCTGTCTCTCAGTATCTCTAATTCTGTCTCTCATTATCTCTATCTCTGTCTCTCAGTATCTCTTTCTCTGTCTCTCATTATCTCTAGCTCTGTCTCTCATTATCTCTATCTCTGTCTCTCATTATCTCTAGCTCTGTCTCTCATTATCTCTATCTCTGTCTTTCAGTATCTTTTTCTCTGTCTATCATTATCTCTAACTCTGTCTCTCATTATCTCTATCTCTGTCTCTCAGTATCTCTATCTCTGCCTCTCAGTATCTCTATCTCTGCCTCTCAGTATCTCTTTCTCTGTCTCTCAGTATCTCTATCTCTGTCTCTCAGTATCTCTTTCTCTGTCTCTCAGTATCTCTATCTATGTCTCTCAGTATCTCTTTCTCTGTCTCTCAGTATCTCTATCTCTGTCTCTCAGTATCTCTTTCTCTGTCTCTCATTATCTCTATCTCTGTCTCTCAGTATCTCTTTCTCTGCCTCTCAGTATCGCTTTCTCTGTCTCTCAGTATCTCTATCTCTGTCTCTCAGTATCTCTTTCTCTGTCTCTCAGTATCTCTATCTCTGTCTCTCAGTATCTCTTTCTCTGTCTCTCAGTATCTCTATCTCTGTCTCTCAGTATCTCTTTCTCTGTCTCTCATTATCTCTATCTCTGTCTCTCAGTATCTCTTTCTCTGCCTCTCAGTATCTCTATCTCTGTCTCTCAGTATCTCTTTCTCTGTCTCTCATTATCTCTATCTCTGTCTCTCAGTATCTCTTTCTCTGCCTCTCAGTATCGCTTTCTCTGTCTCTCAGTATCTCTATCTCTGTCTCTCAGTATCTCTTTCTCTGCCTCTCAGTATCTCTTTCTCTGCATCTCAGTATCTCTAACTCTGTCTCTCAGTATCTCTTTCTCTGTCTCTCATTATCTCTAACTCTGCCTCTCAGTATCTCTAACTCTGTCTCTCAGTATCTCTTTCTCTGCCTCTCAGTATCTCTAACTCTGTCTCTCAGTATCTCTTTCTCTGCCTCTCAGTATCTCTAACTCTGTCTCTCAGTATCTCTTTCTCTGCCTCTCAGTATCTCTAACTCTGCCTCTCAGTATCTCTTTCTCTGTCTCTCATTATCTCTTACTCTGTCTCTCAGTATCTCTAACTCTGTCTCTCATTATCTCTATCTCTGTCTCTCAGTATCTTTATCTCTGCCTCTCAGTATCTCTATCTCTGCCTCTCAGTATCTCTTTCTCTGTCTCTCAGTATCTCTATCACTGTCTCTCAGTATCTCTTTCTCTGTCTCTCAGTATCTCTATCTCTGTCTCTCGGTATCTCTTTCTCTGTCTCTCAGTATCTCTATCTCTGTCTCTCAGTATCTCTTTCTCTGCCTCTCAGTATCTCTTTCTCTGCCTCTCAGTATCTCCAACTCTGTCTCTCAGTATCTCTTTCTCTGTCTCTCATTATCTCTAACTCTGCCTATCAGTATCTCTAACTCTGTCTCTCAGTATCTCTTTCTCTGCCTCTCAGTATCTCTAACTCTGTCTCTCAGTATCTCTTTCTCTGTCTCTTATTATCTCCAACTGTGCCTCTCAGTATCTCTAACTCTGTCTCTCAGTATCTCTTTCTCTGTCTCTCATTATCTCTAATTGTGCCTCTCAGTATCTCTTTCTCTGCCTCTCAGTATCTCTAACTCTGTCTCTCAGTATCTCTTTCTCTGCCTCTCAGTATCTCTATCTCTGCCTCTCAGTATCTCTTTCTCTGTCTCTCAGTATCTCTATCTCTGTCTCTCAGTATCTCTTTCTCTGTCTCTCAGTATCTCTATCTCTGCCTCTCAGTATCTCTTTCTCTGTCTCTCATTATCTCTAACTCTGTCTCTCATTATCTCTAACTCTGTCTCTCAGTATCTCTATCTCTGTCTCTCAGTATCTCTTTCTCTGTCTCTCATTATCTCTAACTCTGTCTCTCATTTTCTCTATCTCTGTCTCTCAGTATCTCTTTCTCTGCCTCTCAGTATCTCTATCTCTGTCTCTCAGTATCTCTTTCTCTGTCTCTCAGTATCTCTAACTCTGCCTCTCAGTATCTCTAACTCTGTCTCTCAGTATCTCTTTCTCTGTCTCTCAGTATCTCTAACTCTGTCTCTCATTATCTCTTTCTCTGTCTCTCAGTATCTCTTTCTCTGTCTCTCATTATCTCTAACTCTGCCTCTCAGTATCTCTATCTCTGTCTCTCAGTATCTCTTTCTCTGTCTCTCAGTATCTCTAACTCTGCCTCTCAGTATCTCTAACTCTGTCTCTCAGTATCTCTTTCTCTGTCTCTCAGTATCTCTAACTCTGTCTCTCATTATCTCTTTCTCTGTCTCTCAGTATCTCTTTCTCTGTCTCTCAGTATCTCTAACTCTGCCTCTCAGTATCTCTATCTCTGTCTCTCAGTATCTCTTTCTCTGTCTCTCATTATCTCTAACTCTGTCTCTCATTTTCTCTATCTCTGTCTCTCAGTATCTCTTTCTCTGCCTCTCAGTATCTCTATCTCTGTCTCTCAGTATCTCTTTCTCTGTCTCTCAGTATCTCTAACTCTGTCTCTCAGTATCTCTATCTCTGCCTCTCAGTATCTCTTTCTCTGCCTCTCAGTATCTCTAACTCTGCCTCTCAGTATCTCTATCTCTGTCTCTCAGTATCTCTTTCTCTGTCTCTCAGTATCTCTATCTCTGTTTCTCAGTATCTCTTTCTCTGACTCTCATTATCTCTATCTCTGTCTCTCAGTATCTCTTTCTCTGTCTCTCAGTATCGCTTTCTCTGCCTCTCATTATCTCTATCTCTGTCTCTCAGTATCTCTTTCTCTGTCTCTCAGTATCTCTATCTATGTCTCTCAGTATCTCTTTCTCTGTCTCTCAGTATCTCTATCTCTGTCTCTCAGTATCTCTTTCTCTGCCTCTCAGTATCGCTTTCTCTGCCTCTCAGAATCTCTTTCCCTGTCTCTCAGTGTCGCTGTCTCTGTCTCTCGGTATTGCTTTCTCTATCTGTCGGCATCTCTATCTCTCTGTCCGTCTCTTTTCTTCATGTTATCTTCTTACTGTCAATTCACAAAGGGATCGACCAAAACCATGGCAGTTATGGAGCTTGGTCTTTTTCTGTAGCAGATGGGGGCACTGGTCTTGAAATCAACGCCGACAACATAAATAGATCTCAATATATAAATGATTGATTGAATGAATGAGTGAATAGATACACAAATAAATAAACAAACAAATACATAGTTACGTAATAAGTATTAGAAAAAAAATGAATCAATGAATGAATAAGATATGAAATTAATAGATGTATAAGTAAATTAATTAATAAATTGATGAAATAGATAACGAAAAAAAAATGGATAATAAAAAGTTCTCATTTTCCCCAGAAGCCTAATTATTCTTCAGACATCTCTTACAAGAAGAAATTGAGAGAACAAGTATGACCAGGGAATGGGAGGGGGCACACGAGTTACTTGAACATAATTTAGGCCTACTCCGTACCACACCCACCCACTGGGCCTCTTGGTCAAATCCACCGTCTTACCGTGATGATTACATGATTTATGATTCTCGAATATTTTCTTTCCAACTTACAGCATTCTATTTCAACACATCCCATGATGTAGCAATGGTAGATGAAACCCGAGTACAGCTGATATGCGGTTGCACGTCTGCGGTTCCCGCCAATCAATGTCCTGCATTTGAAATCGAGGTAAGGTGTACGTGCTTAGTGTCCGACGACACAGAAGTGTTGTAGCCGAGTGGTTTTAACATTTGACAGGAGTTGCCGAGGTTGTGGGTTCGATCCTCGCCCTAGCATGGCACTACATGTATGTCCTTAGGCAGGGAAATTAATCTAAATTGTAACCGGTAGAATGCGAACGTCCATGTGATTGGAAAGGCATGTGTGGGCTTGTAAAATGGCGCCTGGCCTGAACGTCTACCAAGTGAGCGGAGCGCACTGTCATTTGTAGGTTAGCAATTGAATCTAATAACCGGGTTAGGCCAATAGACGAGAGCTTTCGATTTGCACGACCGATGAGATCTACGACGTGAAGCTGAAGCACGAGTCAAGTTCATGATTACGTCGTCGGCTGGATCGTACGATCGCACTCGGGGTAAATCTTCGTTGTAGCGAAATCGAGAACTTCAGCTGTGTGTTGATCTCCAAGAGTGGGTCACGTGATCACAATGGTCATGCGAACAAGCCGTGCCGTCGAGTTGCGACATCGAAACAATTTTTTTTTTGTAAGACAGGGACCTGTGGGAAGACGTGACACCGTCGGTCAGTAAATTTCATGTCGTACATCAAGTTGGTTGTGCAAACAGAAAGCCCTAGTAATTACAATTTAAATTACAAAAGGAATGTGTCTTGCATTTCATTATGTATTATTTAGAACGTTTATGTGTTTTAATTTTCGTATGGAATGTTTAAACGTGAATTCGTATTTTCTTTTCCCGCAGCGATTAAATCCATCCAATATGATTGGTATGGGGGAAGATTATTCCTTTCCTACAAGCACGAGCCTGGGGTTGTCCTTTACCCCTGTCGGTTCGATTGGTAACTGGAACTTCCTGTGTCGTCCCGTTAACTTCCGGGGTCAAGATACATCCCTAACCCTGAAGGTGAACGTTACAGGTAAGAACGGATACAGTCCATGAGAACGGCAGCCCACAAGGTCGACAGTCCACGAGGCTGACGACCGACAACTCATAAGACCGACACATCGAACTTTCAGGACTTTTGACAGCTTTTCTATTCGAGTCTACTAGACCGACCTTATCGGTATCGTGGCTCACCGGTCTTGTGGGTTGTCGGTCTCGTGAGCGGTCGGTCTCGTGTGCCTTTGTTCTCCTTCGTTGCCGTAATGAGATGTCCAGTGTATGAAACTAGGAAATAAATATTATATTGCACCTGTAAAGTCACAAAAGCAGTAGTTCCAGAATTAAAATATGGTGCACGCTGAAAGGTACTTAGACCCTTGTACAAGTGCAGAAGCTAGGACAAAGACCAAAGGATGCAACTCCTTTAAGGATGCCGAACAACTAAAATTGGAACCTTTAAAGTTTAATTTTGCACTCTCGGATGTGCTGTTGACTCAAATACAATAAGCCCAGTCCAATTTTACCATATGCACATGGGAGGAAAATTATTATCTGTATCTGGTTAATTGTTATTTATGAACTTTCCCCTGAAAGAAAGTTATGGCTTATTTGCATTCCATGAAATAACGTTGGATGTATTCTTCTTCAGGAAATAGAACAGAAATGTTCATGAAGTTGGGCCATTCGGCTGCATCACATTGGAGTGATGAATCTAACATTCCCAATGTATATGGGACCTCTACACGTATAAAAACATCTCTGGATACACGGGGTCACTTAGTTATGAAATGGTTCTATTAAATACACCCATAGCTAGCTAATGTAGGGGAGGTTGCGATAGCGGATGTCGCGTCAGATAGGTCAGTCATTTCATGGAGCTCCATTATTCAATCTACAACAACGCTCGCACACATGTATCTTCATGTGTCGCAACTCGTATCCGGGCACCTAACCTCTGGACATCCACCCCCGGATTACCACCGCCAGTCAACTACCCCCTAGGACAAATACCCCTAGGACAATTCCCCCGGACAACTCCCCCCATGACAACTACCCCCCGGACAACTACCCCCCAGAAAACTACCCCCTAGGACAACTACCCCCTAGGACAATTCCCTGGACAACTACCCCCTAGAATAACTAACCCCAGGACAACTACCCCCGGACAATTACCCCCAGACAACTACCCCCTTGGATAGTTTTCCGGGGGGGGGGGTAGTCGTCCTAGAATCGTCGCAACTATCCCTCGCAATACGCTATGATAGCACCCAAGTAAACGACCCTCTTGAACTAATCATTCATCCACAGGTGACCCACCACGGATAAGGGAGTTCCGGTTAGCGGAAGTCGTCAACCTCGACCAGAGAGCGAAATTCCATTGTAAGGTGGAAGGATTATCCTACCAAGACGTGAACGTAACACTGTTAACCCCTTCAAGCAACGTGATAGAATCCGGTGAACCCGTCGGGCTTACGAGCTCCCCGACCTTTCTATTCTCCATCCCTGGGGTGACGAAGGGAGATGAAGGCACCTATCACTGCATAGCGAATGGAATAACGGGATCAGACCAGCAAGAGTGCAGCCTCGAGGTCTTCAGTAAGAAAGAAAAGTCTTCTTCACTATTTTATATTGAACACATGTTTCTTAATCGTGAATACCTTTTGTTCTTTTAGCGGTGCTGTAAATTATGTTTGCAAGAAAAGAAAAACAACAGAATATAGTCTTGAGTATTGCGCGATGCAAGAAAGACAAGGAACGATTCCATCTCATCAACAGCGCTTCCTTTAGGGTCAAAGCAGGATCAAATTGTTCTTAGATACGTCCTAGATTTAGAATACTATCCATGTCATCGTGATATTTTTGAAATGTGACAGAAAAGACCATTTTCAAGTTCTTTTCGTGTTGATGGAAACTTTTGCTAAGTTATTAGACCTTTTTATTGCATTTTTTCATAATTTTGTTGAATACTAACTTGTATTCTAATATGTCACTCTGGACGATTTTCTATCAAACTACTTCATATGTGCTCAACTTTTCTCTCTTTCCTCTCGTTCTCTCTCTCTCTCTCTCCATCTCTCTCTCTCTCTCCGTCTCTCTCTCTCTCTCCATCTCTCTCTCTCTCTCTACCCTTCCCTGCTTTTCTATTTCGGATCACTTTCTCTGCCTCTGTTGATGACATTGTCACCGTCTCCCCTTTTCCATACATATATCTCTTCATCTATTCACTCGTCTCATTTTTGTTTTCTCGACATTTACATCTTCCCCTTGCAGTTCAACCCGTGCCCGTGAACAGCCCTATCATAGTGGACACCAACTCTCGCGCTGTGGAGATCAACCTTAACATCGACGAATACACCGGCGACGGACCCATCCAGGGCGCTGAGCTCCAGTTAACACGAGTCGGCGGCGATGCTTGGACACCGATGACGGTCCCTATCGATGACGCGATAGCCGTCTTCGTGCCTAATCTCGTCCACAATCAAGATTACGAGGTCCGTGTGGTCATATGGCGACGAGGAACTGGTGGGCGAGGAACCTACGGTCCCACGACATCATTCACGACCACGTGTTCGAGTACGTAAAGAATGACGATTTTGCTATACCTTTGGTCTCTTCCGAAAGCTGCTCCAAAAAAAATCCTCCGGCGACAATCGATCCGGGTTTTATTTCATTCAAAGTACAGAGAGACGGTTGCAATCGAGTTTTGTGTGTAGGTTTAGGGTAAGGGTTTCGTCCAGCGTTGAAGTTCTGATTTCGGTTAGAGTAGCTAACTACCGCGGAGAAAGTTTCGTACAACCGTTTAGAAAATATAGGAATAAGTATAGCAGCCGCGAGGCTCTTTCCATGTATGATCGATTTTTCTTCGAAGGAATATCACTGCTTTTAATTTGAATTAATTATGGCGTTCACACTGTTTATCTTGCCAGGACCAACGACTGAATTTAGGTTGAAACTAACGGCGCCTATCGAAGAATGGTCATCAATCGAATTAAAATGGACGGTATGTACTTAATCAATAATAAATTAATTTGTTTATCAATGTCTATATACAATTCCCTTTCGATAGAATGATGTAATCTTCGTGATAGGGTATAACCAAAACATAAGACAGCCCTAGGTTTGTTTCTTCGTGTCTCCTTAGATCAAGATCAATGTATCTTGATCTTCGGAGTAGTTGCTACAACCGGCCGTGTCAGACACGTTTCCCCGGGGTGCGAAATAGGACTTTTGTAGCGTGCCCCCACTTAACACAATTATACAATAACCATTAACATCACATTTAATTAAACGAATGAAGCGATTAATATTACTCTCATGTCACGGGGAAAAAATATTATATATATTATGAATCAATTGATTTGGTCGATCCAGGTTGATGGCACAGACACGGCACTACTGGACAGAGATCCTAATAATTACAGAGCTTGATATTGTTGCTCCGTTCGCCAGCAGTTCAAGGATATGGGATCCCGCAGCACATTACTCACAAGAGTTCTAACAAGCCAAGCTTGGTAATTGTCATGTTCTTATCTAGTAAAATGTTTGTACACCATGCCCCCTCCAAAAAAGGCCCCCTGGTCATCTCTCGGGCATCATGTCAGGGATCTGATATTTCTTAAACACTATTTCTGCATTTCCAAGTTCGTTATGATATAATCGTTTTATAGTCTGTCCCTAGTTGAAACTATAAATGAAACCAACTGAATTTTTTTTGTATGAAAAATTAGCAAATTCGTGATACCGGGGACGAGCTGAGCGGTTTTCGGATTGAATACCAGAAGTCAGGAGGTAGTGTAAGGACTGTTGAGATCCCCGACTCGGGTACTCGGACTCACAAACTCACCGGTTTACTTGCAAATACCCATTACACGGTCATTCTGATACCCTTCAACTGCGGCGGTGACTCCGTATCGACGCTGTCGAGCGCCACAACCAGACAAGGACGTAAGTTCAGAAATCCTTTCATCTACTTGCATAGTCTTTTGGGAAATGATGTAGGCTTCCGAATAATGGCAATCGCCAAACCGATGATCCGAAGACATTAGCAATGGGAACCTCATGGAAGATATATAATCTGTTTGAAGCCAGAAGAGCCTTAACCCATATAAATTACACAAAGTTAACATCCTTTTGGCTCTGAATGGATGATACTTTTATTTGCTTTTTTTAATGTAAAATTATCAATCACATGTTTTTGGCCTGCTTTATTCGTGGATTTTTTTTCGGGTGAGCTGTATTTAAAGGTATATGTTGTTTCATGCAATTCATTGGTCAATAATATACAATATATATACATATCTTTAGTTTTAAGGTTGCAGTTAGGGATTGTGCAATCAATTATCTTCAACATTATCTACGTCATCATCGTAATCTTTATCGAAATTGATATCATCATTCATCTTCTTCTTATTACTATTATTATTTTAGGTTCATGAGGTTCATAAAGTTTATATCCATTGTCCATTTAACAATGGAAATTTGTGGTATGTACAATGGATATGAATATACATATATCAAAAACCATACATTCATTATTATTATTTTCTTATATTTATTGCTATAGCAATTATGTAATTGTTTTTTTTTTTACAAAACTCATCATCATCATCAACAACACTATCATCACTGAAGTTAATTATTTGGGGAGATTTTAACGGATGGTTTTATCTTTTAGTTATCGTATTTTACGATGGTGATGATAGTAATGATGATGATGAGGATGATGGTAGTGATGATGGTGATAATGATGATGATAATGATAATGGTAATACTGATTATTACGATAATCCTGATAAAACTTGTTTGGAACGCGGGCTTAGCTTTCTACACTCTCCCATATCTTTTATCCTATTCCACCCCTCCAACAATAAATATGAATCTAATTTGAACTGTACAGCTCCTGGGCCTGTGGGTAACTTCCAGCTGACCGTGACGTCATCGGACACGATAACGGCTAGTTGGCGTATCCCTGAGGAAACCAGAGGTGACATCGTGCACTACTCTATCAAGGTCTTTGAGAAGGTTGATGGTGTTGTCAGTGACACAGCCCACTGGGATGATACAACTCAAAATACAGTGTCTCAGGTGCTTACACAGTTCAGCCTTCTCATTTATTTTTGATAACAGATTTCCATTCGGTCGTTCAAATTGGAACAAAATAATATTTGCTGTGACAGATCAGTTAAAGCAAACATGTTTACAGCAATTGTACGTATGTCCATATACTGTATCTAATGTTACTTGACAAAGCAAATTTATTATGATAAACAGAAAAACTCACTCAACTTAATGAAAACGCTTCAACCTATTAATTAAAGATAACTTTTCCCATTTGCACTTGACAGAGAATATATAATGATGGGCATATGAAATAACAAGTTAAATCGAGCTTGTTTACCCTCTCGGAAACCAAACAGAAAGTATTTTGTTTTATTGAAAAATGCTCTCTTGGTATTATCTTTCCATAATCGATGATGTCATTATAAAACCAAAAACGCCGTACCTTATACCAAGGATTTAAAATGCGGAATGCCTATGAATGTAATAGAACTTCAAACTTCTGGAGATATAAATACTTTGAAGAGAATGTAACATCTATTCCAGCTTTATAGAACATGTGATTTAATGATAAGACGTGTATTACAATGAAGAAAAATGCATATTACACTGGTGCCGAAGTAAATTGTTTGTCTTTTTTTTCTCGTAGATCTTTAACCTCAAGCCTTACACGTCGTATGTAGTAGAGGTATATGCACGTACCGTATTAGTAGGCGAAATCAGCAGGAAAGAAGTCACCACAAAGGAAACAGGTAAGAGCCATATCAAACCTTGATAATTTCTGGGTTTATTTAGTCTTTACTACATTGACGAAGTCTCTAAGCGCTTTACAGATATATTATTATTATTCCTGGGGAGCTATCCAGCCATGTGCCATTTAACAGACGCTCATAATGCTGATCAAACTGCGATGGTTTTCGCATCCTACGTGGTACACATTTAGCACCTTGGTGAAGAGAGAGACAAATGTATGTTAATGTCTTGCTAAACGACTTGCCACCATGTTGCTCGTTTCACATGGGACGTCCTATTTCTGACACAGACTGTGTCAGCGATTGGTAGTTCCTGTCGTGTTTAGACCTTGCTTTGTGCACGTTCATAACGAACATCAAGGACTCTTGTCAAATATATCTTTTTATTTTACCTCAGCTCCTAGTGGACCGCCTTCTACTCCATCGGTTATCGGTCAGACAATGGACACCAGAATGTCCTTTGCGTGGCGCCCGCCTCCGGTGGACCAGCGGAACGGTGTGATCATCGTCTACGAGTGGAACGTCATGTACGTGACGACCGATGGCGTATACCAGAGCGACGTTGAGAACGTGACGGAGACGTTGGCGACATTGACGAACCTGATCCCGAATAGGAGATACACCTTCAAGGTCCGAGCCTTCACGTTGGAAGGACCGGGACCCTTCACGCCATCGATCAGCCACAAAACACTCACTACAGAAGGTAGGGAACGAGAGATTTGACAGGGGCATCATGAGGAAATGGCCGCTGGAGAGATATGACAAATTTAAAGTAGAGAGAGAGAGAGAGATAACAGGGAGAAATGGTACAAATCTACGTTTGTTGTTCAATCAACAATAACGTCTAAAATTCGGTTTGAACGTGGCCACGTAAATTGACACCAGTGCAAGTCAAATGTTCCCAAATTATAATTCACTCTTCAGACTACAGGTATTCGTCAAATTGATCAATACTTACATTTCACTTTGATACATTATTGAGGAATGTTAAAATTGTACTTCTGTGAATTTTTGACCTCAAATATATTACACCAAACATCATCAATAACTGTTCCAGGGTTACCTGTGCGAGTACCATTTTCATCATCTGTACCCCGCTCTCTACCAACCCGACCGTTCTCTGCATATTTGTGTGTGTGCGTGTGTGAATGTGTGTGCGTGGGTGTTTGTGGGTGTGTGTGCATATATCACTCATCATATATTTGCTTCTTTTCAATAACCTTACAGAAGCAGCGAAGTACCTCACCACACCACCTATTGCAATCACTGTTAGGGGAAATCCAGACCTGCCCAACGAAACAGGTGGTCGAACGGGACCTTCAATTAGTAAGTACATGTAACCTCAATAGTACCGTCAAAACAACTCTAACACAATGGTTTGAACACCTTCCAATATCCTTATGCATTTTGATGATAAAGATTGTCTCCTTTGAACCATTTTAGAGCAGGTGAGGAATCGTTAAATGGCACACATTTTTGTGTAGCCCATAGGAACGTCACAACATAACAACTTTGTAACATATGAGCGTCCCAATGCTCACTACCCCCCCCCCCCCCCACTGAGCGAGATATTGGTCGGCACGATTTTCACATTTTCGAGGTCAAATACGAGGAAAAAAAATTATGATCACTACCCCCCCCCCCCCCACTGAGCGAGATATTGGTCGGCGCGATTTTCACATTTTAGGCCCCCCCCCCCTATCGGCAAATCCTGGATCCGCCCCTGACCAATACAATGGGTTTTTACGAACATATAGACAACTGAACATTATGGCGTCGCACCATATGGGTGTTGAAACATAAGGGCACACTTGAAAAACATAATGGCGATGTATCATAAAGACATCGAAACGTAGGAGCAAGCACGAGAAAATTAATGACGTCGTATAGGGGCGTCGAAACATAAGAATCATAACATTTAAATCATTCTGATGAACTTGCGAGCCAGCAACAAAATGGCGTTGTAATAAACAAGTATTGGAACATCAGGTTGTTGAAACTTGGGGGCATATGGACATTAAGACGCTGTAAGAGCGTCGAAAATAGGGCTTTAATCAAAAAATCAAAAAACACAATCTTGGATAATCGTCTTACAGGTGAGAACAAGGCCAGTGGTGGAATATCAAGCAACACCGTGCTCGCCCTCGGCCTCGTTTGTGTCTCAATCATCATCATCGTCGCTATCGTCTTCGGAGGCTGGATGTACAAGAAGAGGAAGACGGCAGGGAGTGTGGAGTTCGTTGCGAGCATCGCCGGATCGGAGATCGGTACTTACCGGTTTAATGAAATGGTAAGAATCTCAGAAAGCGATACCATAAATGGACAAAAGCTTAAAGGTATAGACCAGTTTCGGAAACGCCCCCCCAAAAACGTCTCCAAAAAAAAATGAAATAGAAGCTCCTATTACCAATCATATGAAAGAATATGTTTTGACTAATACGTGATGATACAAATGTTGCCGGGAAACCGCCTACTAATTGATATATTTGGTAAACTATCATATCTATCCGGACTGGATAGATATCGCGTAGTCCCATATACATCTTGCTGTGTACAGTGCTTGTTTACTTTACCATGACTGGGCCAAATTTCATATCATTTTGATGATTCCAGAACCTTGCAGTACACACTAATTATTATATGCTAGATGATCAACCTTTTCTGATCGATTTCACAACGTTTCTTTCACAATGCAATCGCATGACCAGAACTGGTCTATACCTTTAAGGCAAATATACCGTAAGAAGATGGCGAAACATCATTCTGACGTTGGCCTGGAGTTTAAACGTCCCCAAAGTATAACGTTAGCCTAACGTTGTTTCTACATAGAGGACACATTTTGGCAATGCAACACAACAATCCTCTAAAGTCGGGCCATCATAACATTCTGGTGCTGCATGGCTCAACGTGTCCTCCATCCCAATGTCGTTGCTTGCCATGGGCCACTGTTGGCACATCGTGGTGTTTTTTAAATTTTTTAAATTATATATTTTTGTTTTAAAGCCCGTCAATACTACTGGGCCAGAATGGATTAGACCACACAGCGAGGTCACTGACAGGTGGCTATCTCATTAACTCAGCTCTCAACTAACATAAGAAAATGAGGATCATGGGGGACCAACAGGCACCGATTTGGGAAAGTTTTCTATATAGAGGGAACAAGTAGCTACAAGTAGGACAGTGGGGCTTAAATCAATTTAAAAGAGATACTCCTTCATAATTTAGTATGTTTAATATGTGTTTGCTTGCACAGTATCCCCAATGGTAAGTAATAACATTTGAATTATCCAACAAACCAAGATCTTAAGTAATTAAGCTACACAACTTCGTGTAATTCAGAAACTGTATTATTGTCTTATTCGCCTGTTATTGATTTTGTTTACTGTTAATCCTGCTATTTTAGTTGGCCCGACAGCAGTCCGCTCAGTCCGCTACAAATGACTACGACGAAAATAGCCGTGGACTGATGTTGGGTGCCATGGCGTCACCCCCTGGATCACCTCTGCCGCCGATAGACTACTGGAGAATCCCGCTCGACTGCCTAACGCTCGAGAACTTCGTCATCGCTGAAGGTAACTTTGGCCAAGTGATGAAAGCGACGGTGAAGAAGGACGGAGGCGTCATCGAAGTCGCCGTCAAGACGCTGAAAGGTAGCTATGACCCGTGGTCGACATCCAAATCGTCGAAGATTAATGAAAGTTGTGGCCTTTGAAATGTAATTTTGAATTGAAGATAAGTCATGATTTAGATTTAGTAACGGCTTGACCTAAGGCAAATAGAATAAAATTCTTTAACAACTTTTCGTATTATAAATTAACTTTTTCTTCAACAATGATAATAATTGTAACGTTTCCATAGCGCTTAATATTACTATTTTCAAGTGCTGTACCATTTTATCTCTTCATTTGTCATTATAAGAGGTCATGAATTACCTAAAAGTTGCGTCGTTAATAACATGTGAAGCATATTGCAGCAGGTTGGCTTGCTGAGGTAGTTCCTTTTTGGGAGATAATTTCAAGATTTTTTTAAATAAAATGGTATTGCCTTGTGAGTTTGTTATGTTGTATAAAATTGATTTCATCGGATAGCGTATGAGGCGGCTGTTCTTTTTTGCGTGTAATTTTTCATGAAATAATAGAAAAATATCTATACCTTCTAACAAATATTTGCTTTTTGTCTGCCTTTTTCAGATGGGACATCTGAAGCAGATCGCAAAGACTTTATGGGAGAACTTGAGATTATGTGTAAAGTAGGAACACACCCCAACATTGTGAACCTGGTAGGGGCATGTGAACACCAAGGTAAGTGATAGAGCTCGAAATTGAGGAACACGTCCCCATCTGTTTTGGTTATCATGCTCGTAACAGGTTCATAATTATGGTTAGTATGAACCAAAACAGGTGTGAGAGCTGAAGCTCATAATGCGCTAGGCAAAGGAAACGGTTGTCAGCGTTTCGTCGTAGTTAGAAGAGAAATTGTGGCCACAATTAACAATCTTTCATCAAATGTGAAAGTCCCATTTGACAACCTAACGGCAATGTGAGCTTATTGATTCTGTTCAAGATGTCATCACATTCTCCAGGGCTTCTCCCTCTTCCCACATCGACAAACCTGATAGTGATGATAAAAAAGCTCTGGATTTTGAAGAAAACTTACTGTTCCAAACAATACAATAATCATTGACGTGTTTTTAAAGGTAAAGACCAGTTATGGTCAGGCGATTGCATTGTGAAAGAAACGTTGTGGAATCGATCAGAAAAGGTTGATCATCTAGCATCTAGCATCTGCAAGGTTCTGGAATCATCAAAATGATAAGAAATTTGGCCCATTCTTCGTAAAGTTACAAGCACTATACACAGAAAGATGTATATGGGACTACCCTATATCTCTCACAGACCATGAGAGAAACAAATTTACCAAATATATGAATTAGTAGGCGGTTTCCCGGCAAATTTTTTATCATCACGTATTAGTCAAAACATATTCTTTCACATGATTGATAATGAGAGCTTCCATTTCATTTTTTGAAATTGGGGCGTTTCCAATACTGGTCTTTACCTTTAAATACACTTTCGTGTGTGAGTAGGAATATGCGTATCAACACATAGATCAATCAACAGTCTTTTTCAGGACTACACGCATTCAAGAAAGAAAAATTTCCGAGAGTCCTTTTCAAGACTCTACAATCCTCCCCCCCCCCCCCCCCCTGGCCCCCTCTCACATTGTGCAACCGCAATCCTACTGTAACATAAATCAGTATTTGGAATCGCGTCCAACTAGTAAACATTTTCATTATTCCCCAAACCAGGTATCCTTTATGTTGCGACTGAGTATGCTCGATATGGCAACCTACTCAATTTCCTACGATCCAGTCGTACTATTGAGGCCGATTCGCCGTTCCCTTCGAGTCCGACTAGTCGCTTTAAAGTCAACGTGTCCACGAGTTTGACAGCGGAGCAGATTCTTGGATTCGCTGCTGACGTAGCCCTGGGCATGCAGCATCTGGCTCAGAAAGGGGTAAGATATGCTCTGGGGAGCAGCGCAGAGGGTGCTGGAAGTGGGGTTTGAAAAACAGTACCAATCATTTATATTCATATTAAATGCTTATTGGTTATGCTGTTTCGAACATCACCAACGTGTCAAACGGAACGACAGCCCAAACTAGGATCTTATATCAAGGGTAAATGAATGTTATATACAAAATAAATAACTTAAATTTTGATGATAAAAGTGTAATGGTTGAATGCTAAATCGAACACGCCATTTCCCCCAGGCGAAGTCAGGCATATAAATGGCAATCCTTTTTTTGTCACTTAAAACTGAAATAAATACTAATATGTACCTAGATTTTGAGTCATTGTTACCATACTATTGGGGTAAAAAGGCGTTTTTGAAATAATGACCTGATATTGGAAAAGATATTAATTTATGACTTAAATATTCATAATTGTCTGTACATGTCCTTTAACAGTGTGTGCATCGTGACTTGGCTGCCCGCAATATCTTGGTCTGTGATAACTACGTTTGCAAAGTCACCGACTTCGGGTTATCAAGGAGTGATGAAGTTTATGTAAAGACCACTGCAGTAAGTATTAGGCCTTCTACCTTCAGGTTAATTTCATTTCTTTAAATACATACTGTACTGGAGGCACTACCAGGAAAGCTTATCTAGCGCCGTTTCAGGTCAGCTGTAGCAGTATGGTCCTGTAACTCGCTGCTTTCCTAACTGTGCTATTAGTTCCCGCATTAGGATGGCGGTGTATAATAAACAGTATGCTAGGGCAGGCAGTTTTTATGTTCAGTACCGCTTTAAGAGACATCGTTCCTCCTTTTTTTTTTGGCTCCAAAAAAAGATATAATCTCTAAATACTAGATGCATAAGAAGAAAAAGCAAAAACTTATGCACACACTGTTCATTGTTTCCTTACATTGGCATAACACGGTGAGATTCAGAACCGTTGCTTTTTTCAATCAAGTTGGCCATGTTTTCAACTTTTCGATTTTTCATCAATGCTAATTTATGCCTGCATTTTAAGAGGTAAGGTGGCATTCTCCTGCCTGTGGAGGCCAAATTTCTGTGTTTTTTAACGTGGACAATAAAATCTGAATCTGAATCTGAATCTGAATCTGAATTCCTTCCCTTTTCCCCCCTTTTACACATCTCCATTCTAATTTCCGAACCCCACGGTACACAAAATTCTCCTATAACCACAGAACCATTATGCTCCCGACTATGAATACCTAATCATAAATTCTCTCCTTTTTCTTCTTCCAAACTCAGGGTCGTTTGCCAGTTCGTTGGATGGCCATAGAATCCCTGAACTATAGTGTCTACACTACCAAGAGCGATGTGTGAGTTTTCTTTATTAACAATATATCCACTGAGTCAAGCATTTCCATATTTGATCTTTCGTTCGTGTCTCCTTAGATCAAGATTAGTATAACGTCCTAAATTAAATTAAATTAAATTAAATTAAATTAAGTTATTTCATCGCCCGTTGGCTGCGAAGGTCGTCTATTTAATAAAGGCCAGGGACCCGTTTCACAAAGCCTTTTCTCAATGACAAATGACAACAATCAGTGACAAATTTGCTGACAACCAATCAGTAGCAAGGATTTCAGTAACTTATAACAAAAACTGTCATTTGTCACTAATGACAAGTTTTGTGAAACGGGGCCCTGGTCTTCATCTGTGCAACCCAAGATGTGGACCATCGTCTGAGTCTCTCCGCAGTCGCAGAGAGTATCTTCTTCATCAGCATATAGCCCCATCTTGATTCAATGATAGTATACTTTTCATTTCAATTGGATATGAAGCACTCTGTTTAGATATTTATTTTGACTGAATTTGTCTTCCAATATTATCCAAAATCAATGAAGGCGTTGATCTGAGTTTTAAAAAAAACAGAAACATAATCATATCCAGACTTGAGGATCTAATCTTGAACACGTTCTTCATTTTCTTCAGATTTGCTCATTTAAGTTTTGTTGATAAGTCACTTTGTTATTGACATATTTCACCGCGTGATTTCATTTGTAATCCAGTACAGGCAAAACTATGGTTTGTTTGCAATCCTACCCAGCTACATAACATTGAAAAAAAATTGTTATAAGATGATGAAGTGAATCCTAATCAAATGATTGGTTGAGAGCCTGCACGTGACCAGGCATTTATAGCGCCTAACCCGTAATTTTACTAATGACCGGTCATTATCAAAATTACGTGTTAGGTACAATAAATGCCTGGTCACGTGTACGCGACGTGTATGCCTGGTCACGTGTGCCCTCACTGCTGTGTATTTTTGGTATACTATTGCCCGGTAAATGTGACGTTTCAGTTTTCGGCCCATTTACATGGATTACCCTTAGTTTCGATCAATCTGTATGATCAGAGGATTAGAATTGTGACATGCGGAACAATATACATGTACTAAATTATGCCTCGTCCATTTGAAAAGCTGGATTTAGTATGTTCTATCATAATTGTATTTCATTGTTTATTTCTACAATATAGATGGTCGTTTGGAGTTCTTTTGTGGGAGATTTGTACCCTGGGTGAGTTAACCTTAGCTTTATTTGCACATTTCCTCCGATTTCAAGCCTTTATAATGCAATATTTAAAAAAAAAATCAATGATAATGATAATGAGACGTCCACCTTTGTTTGAAATTTAAAAAAAAAAAAAAAATCTTCCAAAAAGTCGTCCTTAGTGGCTTAATATACACTGTATGTTTCTTTTAATGCTCTTTAGAGAATTTTTCAGTTTCTGGCATTGATCTCGATTTTCGAAGGATGAACTTAAATTTCAAACTAGAATTTGATAGATGGCTAAGAATTTACAATACACGTACTAGTAAGATATGACGGGGTAACCGATTTTTTGTTGGTATCCTATGGAAAAGGCGCTATACAAATCCAATTATTATCATTACCAGTTTTATTAATATTATTATTAGTAGTAATAGTATAGTAGTAGCAGTAGTAGTAGTAGTAGTAGTAGCAGCAGTAATAGTAGTAGTAGTAATAGTAGCTGTATTATTACTTTTATTATTATCATTACTTTTATTATCATCATCATTATCATTGTTATCACTAATATTAAAAACATCATTTTCAAACTAATGATAGCATAATATTCGTCAACAAATATTTGTTCAGTGTATTGTTTCCTTATAATCTTTGCAGGTGGGACACCTTACCCTGGCATGACGTGTGCTGAGCTGTACGAGAGGTTGCCCCTAGGGTTCCGCATGGAAAAGCCTCTCAATTGCGAAGATGAGGTGTAAGTAATATCATTTAACTATGCTGAACACTAAATCTAGCCTAAAACTCCATTTCAATCCAAGATATTTTCCGTAATCATAATGATAATATCACATTTTTGTGTATTTATGAAATTATATTATATTCATCGGTGTTTTATATCTAGGCAGTCTGACAATAAATAACAAAATGATCATTGATATTAAAGATTAATATTCGTTCGAACGTAATTCGTCTTTTAGCTTACACAACTGGCACGATACTAATAATAACAATCGATTGGCTTTTATATAGTTGATAAAGTAATTGCATGATTATTTGCAATGAAAAAAAAAATCATGAAATATAATAAAAACAACAGCAACAGCATTATGAATAATATTAAAATAATGAAACTAGTAATAATTTTTGTTTTCATCGTCCTCATCACCGTCATCGTAATAAAAGTATTAAAAAACCCTAGAGCCTGGAGCAAATTTGTTGACGATGTATTCATATTTATTTTTATGTTATTTTTTAATTCATTTTGACCCCCTGTTTTAGGTACAACATCATGCGTCATTGCTGGCGTGATCGACCCCATGATCGACCCACGTTCGATCAACTTTACACAGTACTGTCTGGACTCGTCAAGGCAAAACAGGTAAGACTCCATCGGCTGGGCTACAGCCTCTGAGACCGAAAGTCCACGAGACCGATATTTTCTGTCTTCCCGAATGAGACCGATAGTCCACGAGACCGACATTTTCTGTCTTCCCGAATGAGACCGACAGTCTACGAGACCGACATTTTCTGTCTTCCCGAATGAGACCGACAGTCGACGAGACCGACATTTTCTGTCTTCCCGAATGAGACCGATAGTCCACGAGACCGACATTTTCTGTCTTCCCGAATACATTTCGTTGTTCTGTTAGTATGATAATAACAATAATGTCAGTTACCAAGGGAGGCTTCATAAGCACCAATGATGTTCTTCCTGAGGACCCCAGCAATTACCATTTTAACATTTACACTTGGGCGAAGAATTACAAATGTGGAATAAAGTCTTGCCAAAAGACGTAGGTGTCGGGCTGGGATTCGAACCCTCAACCCTTGCATTGAGAGTCAAGTGATTGTAATCACTATACCACGACACCTCCACGATCAATATAGTGGGCAACATAGGTCTTGCAGATCTTAGTTTCTATATTTTCTATCGACCTTTGTGTCAATGTGGGTCTCGTGGGCTGTAGGTCTTGTGGGCGGTTGGTCCCATTGATTACCGCTCTACTGGGAGGACCCCCGACTCGATCAAGATTAAGCGGCGTGTCCAGGATAGGGTAAAGTTGATTTACGCCCCCGTCCTTTGTTTGTTGGTCCATGGGAGAGGGTTGTCGGTGCAAGCCCCTGTGTACGTCATAGGGACTTCCTAGGTAAATAACGTAGACCTAATCAAATCAAACCTCGATTTTAGTATATTTGTTTCGCTTTTCCTTGTCTTTTGTCTTTGTTTCCCCTACCTTTCAACCGGGGGGGGGGGGGGGTGGTACGTTTCCTCTCTACCTTCACCGACTACCAACTGATTTATTCTCATTGTATTTTATGATACAAGTAATCCTAGTATCTCTCTTTCTCCGCAGCCCTACGTAAATTTGGACAAACTTGAAAACGATCTTCAGTTCTCCGAGCTCAACTCAGATGAAGACTTCAAACACGATAGCTGGGCTATGTGAAAAACTTCCATGATAAAAAAACAATCTTAAGATCCCCCTTGTTCCAACATCGCGAACCAACCCGTCAACTCGGTATGAATGGTACTAATGATGTCTTCATCGTTCCACCCTAGCCTGCACGTCGATCATGCGAAGAGAGTTGACATGTTTTATCCAGCATAAATGACCGAGTTGGACATAAACCAGTTTATTGTCGTAATGTCTGATTGTGTGTCCGTTTGTCCGTCCATCCACCTCTGTGTGGTTATCTATTAGGTATCTGTTTTTTAAAAGAAATGTGTATCCTTTAAGATATAACTTGCTAACTCTGACAATGGCTATACTCCGGCGGAGGCATATTGGTGACAATGTCGTATTCATTCTTTTACGCTATGCCCGTTGTACGCGAGGCGTCAGTTGTATTGCGTTTTCAATCAAATTAATCATGCTTCTGAAGGGAATTGCCTATGCATCTATTTTAAAACAATATTGGCACTGTTCATCTTGCATTTTCACTGAGTTTACGATCTCGCTCTGACATTGTGCGTCAAAGATCCCCAACAGTTTTTGACGCAGTTTAACGTCAGGATAAATGACGCTTCGCGTGCCGCGGGCATTAAAGTACTAATGACAATAATTCAACCGGTCAGGGGCCCCCTAAGTAAGAGTCTCGTTATTCAGCAATAATGTACAACACTGTGTCAAATTAGTTAATAATGAATATCCCTCAATTTATACACGGCATTTTTTCTTAGACCATGAACAGAATGAAGAGATATGGTTATAATAGGAACATATTTCATTAGGCTCTCCTCTATATAAATCTTGGTTTTGGTCAGGGAAAAATACACCATATCCCTGTAAGACTTAAAGGGGCACGTTTCCGCCAGTGTAGTTATTGGAACATGCCATCTGCGTAAGAGCCGTATTCTGTTGGTGTCAATAGGCAGCTATAGCACCGTCCGCCAGCGCGTACGTATTTTGAACGCCCTCTGGAATACGGGGATCATGCCCCTTTAAGATATGAATTAAAGGAATTGAGAAGAGGGGGTGGTTAGGATTTTTAATAACGAAACGTCATTGAGAGAAAATGTCATTTTCATCAGTTTCATCGACGTAAACCAGTTTCCGAAGGATAGTGATGAATGTTTAGACAAACACTTTGAAAGGAAGAATTTGCAAAACATTTCCGTATCATAACTAATGAATGAATGACGAACAAATGAATGTGTAATGGCTGGAAATAAGAATCACTACCCAGTTTAAAGCAGACGACAAAAGCATACAATAAAGCGCGGCAAACGAATCTTCATTAAATTGATGTGATCACATGACCAGAAACGATATCAATGAACATCGATTGTGATTCGACATCCGTGTGGTTTTTTTTAAAGCGAGGCAAAACGTGTGGATACCGAATGATATCAGTACTGTTAAATAATATTCACACTGTTTGCTGCCTAGTATTGCACCTATATACATCTAATGTTTTGATGATATACTTCTATGTGACCTGATGAAATAGTAAATTGTCAAGTACTATATCACAATGTACTAGAATGTAGAGTACTCATTATTTTTTTTATAAACATCTTCGGTTTAATGAACTGGGATATCCTTTTCGTGATTCGATATATTTTTTACACAATTGAATTGAATTGGATTTCTTTATTCTTATCATTACTAGTCTTTCGAGATTACAATATTCACAGTATTATGTTTATTAAAAAAAGAAAATCATAATTCAGCTGTTTTGAGATTTGAAAGAAATTTATAAATATTTCCCATCATTGATGATTGATAATTTAAATTAATTTGTTGATTTCTATATCATCTTTTAAACATACATATTCATGTTACAATTACATTTGTTTCGTTGATATTATATTAGACTCTAAACCGTTTCAACGTTGACAATTTGTGTTCTCAATTTTTTTAAGAATAACCTTTTTATCATTAATTGAACCGTTTAATAACTTGTGGAAGTTAAATGGATTTATACCGAAAATTCATCGACTAATTCATTAGCTTAATTAGTTACAGCTGTGGAACCTAATCATTTGCTATCATGGCGTAGTGAAATCAAGCATCTACAAAAAATATATCGATGTAATGTTATTGCTCCTGTGGAAAAACGAAACGCGTGTACATAGATGATTTGTTCATCATTGTTAATCATTCTCATTTCACTGTTTCTTTGGAATTGTAAATATACCTGAATTTTATGAAAATAAATGTGTATAATAAATAACTGCATGTGTTAGGACATTATATTATCGCTTTCATGCCAGGAGCTCTAAATCTAACTTTGTAGCTGTAAATAACTAGCGTTTATTATTGTAAAATTAATAGCAATCTTAACTTTTTGCAATATTTTGTACGCATTTTTGTACATAGTAAGCTATTGGCGTTCGTCCGACGTTCTATGAATGAAAAAGGTATTATCATTTTTGCACTTTTACATACGTGGACATTCTAATGTAATAAGCAGAACTGCCAAAAATGGTGCGATTACGTAAAAGCTGTATATTATGCTATCTGCTGTCCAATCAGTATTAAGATCTATGGTTTGCCAAGATGAGACACGAGAATTTCATTGTTTGTATAGCTTGCAGTATATTCCATGTTGTATTTTCCATTAGAAATAACTCGCCTTTGTAAATAAAATCATATGAAAATCAGGATGATGTTGCTTCGTTTTCTTTCTTCATGATTTATCAAGTCCTGCCTGAATAGGACAAAACGATTCAATACCCATATTGTGTTAAAAATAAGAATGGTTGACAAAAAATTTGAATGTAATTCATGCCCCTCCCCAATCCCTCTGAAATTGTTTGATAACCATTGCAAAACGCAAAGATTTCACCTAGAGGTTTTCTTTAAAAATTTGAGAAAAAATCTTGTTCAGCAATCTTGTGGAATGTAATGTAGTAGTGCCTATCGCCCGTGTTTTTTTAAATTATTATTATTGAATCATATCAATACATGAATACAATAAAATCGTTTGATACAAATTCAAGTTATTAAATCTTTTCGAATGAAGAGGGGAGATTAAGACAGATAAACCAATATGCACCACTTCTGTTCAAATTGTACATCATTTTTCTTTTATCTTTGTATATGTTATCATCGCCTCTATCTGTCTCGCAGACAAATCATATTACTGGTAAAGCACTTTCGGGAAAAGTAGACATTCTCTCAGCACCCTATCCCCTATCTTGCTCTTCATCCCCTCCCTATCTCTCTCTCTCTCTCTCTCTCTCTCTCTCTCTCTCTCTCATTCTCACCCTCTCTCTCTCTCTCTCTCTCTCTCTGTTTCTGCTTCCCTCCCTTTCTCCCCCTTGACCTCTTACGACTTCCCTCTATTTTTCCTCCTTTCTCCCTCTCTCTCTTTCTACTTTCCTTTCTCTCCCCACCATCTCCATGTGACAAATGTAATGAAGCTAGAAAGAGAAATACGGATGGCTAGAAGGCTAGAGGGAAGATAGATCAGGAGATAGAGAGAGAGAAAGAGAGAGAGGGGAGAGAGGAAGAGGAGGAGAGAACGTGCGAGAAACTTTAGTGGAGGAGAGGCTTGGGGGAGGAGACGGGTGGGGGAAATGAGGTGACAGTGGAACCGAAGGGAGACGAGAATTGAATTGTAATGATGAAAACAATGATAACCTTTTCCTTCTCAGCCAGATTTCCCGTCCTTTCTATCTATCTCCCTCTCTCTCTCTCTCTCTCTCTCTCTTTCTGCCTGTCTCCACCTGTCTCGCTCTCTCTCTCTCTCTCTCTTCCTCTCTCTTCCTCTCTCTCTCTTTCTCTCTCTCTCTCTCCCTCTCTCTCTCCCCCTCTTTCGTTGTATCTGTCTCACAGACACGTATACCTTTGCTTTATGGATAGGGATCAATGCTCGTCGCATTATGGTTGAACTCTCGTACATCCTAGAGATAACCATTGTTTCTGCTTGCAGTGGCGTACCCCGACAGAATCTCTTTTTACCCCCATCCGCATACAATCAGTTTGCATGTTGGCTACATAGGCCTTCCAGTGCGCGTGCAGTATAGCCCTTTCTCAACCAAGTTTTGTTCTTCATCAGAAATACAATCAGAGCTAAAAGAGCTAAGAGCTGTCGTGTCAGTTACTACGATCTTACATTATATTCTACCAGCTCAGATTTTCTTCATAACGGATACAATTAGAGCTTGTCCGTCTGTCCGTCTGCTTTGCCGGTTGCGCTCTTCGTGAATGTTATCATTCTGGGGAGTATTCTGACCAATGAACTCATCGAGTGATTAGATGAACTTTCGATGCTCACGGTGCAAGAGCTCAGATTAAGAGGAACGAATAACAAAAACAGCAATACTAGCCCAAATATATATTCCCATGAACGCGGTATTAGTCAAACTGGGATAGTTGTTAGCCGGATATGCAATGTACATGGTTATAAAACCTGAAGTCGGAAACAGCAAAAAATCAGACAATCCAGATTTGATTTTCGAGGATTTGGAGATTTATACGTCGCGTCGTCAGCACTGTGAGAGACTTGACAGACGATACAGTAAGCTGGATTTGCATTCTGAGAACAACATCGGGAACACTCATCTTAATCCAAGGTCTCGGTCTTTCGAGACATAATTCAGGATCTCGGCATTTCGAGACTCAACTTCACCGTTTCGGTTTTTTGAGACTTCATCTGCTTTCTCCGCACCTCCAGACAAAATCCAAAGTCTCAGTATACTTCGAGACATAATTCAAGGTCTCATGTCTCTACATTTCTGGACAATCGATAGAGCAGAGACATTTTCTTAAAGTTACGTCATACAAAGCCACAAAAAAGTCCTGATTGGTAGATTATCATCAGCAAGACATCATGGTATCATCGGGGATGATTAATATCTGCTATCTTCTTTTGATGTGGAGCCATCTTGCTGTAGCGCAAGGTAAGTTTGCATTGCCTATTTTAAGATTTTGAAGGGGCTACTTTTAACTAAACCTAGCAGGTGCATTTAATAGCACGCGATGGATAGAGACCTCGAAAAGTTGAGAAAGTCATTATCAAACCGTCAGGAAATCTAGGAAACGACCGATTGGTTTCGGATAAAATATACTGACAAATGTCCTCAAAATCTACTAACCGTGAGAAATTCCTCTTTTTGTGTTTTGGGTCTAGGAGTTTTCCCACCAGCTTCCAACTGATCTCATGACCGTTCATTCCCTACATGAATAGCGTCATGTATTACGTAATTAAGTTCCAAAGAATGGGGAAATATTTCACCCCTTCTATCGTTTTCATTTTAATCGAAGATGATAGCTTTTGTACCCTCAACAATTGCCGTGGTAGACAAAGGAACATCCCTTCACTGCTATTATGTAAAAATGTGTAGAACAGGTGTCACATGCATATTCACCCGTTCTACTTATTTTACATAATAGCAGTGAAGGGATGTTCTTTTGTCTACCACAGAAATTGTTGAGGGTACTTATTTTACATAATAGCAGTGAAGGGATGTTCTTTTGTCTACCACAGAAATTGTTGAGGGTATAATGAGAAACTGTATATTTTGTCCTCTTTCTTTGTCCGTCATGTTTATAGTGATGTATGTATAACAGGTGAATAAAGTAGTTGGTAAACGTGGGTTCCCGAGAGAAACAGTATTATGTTCATCATTAAACCAAAATTAGAACTGGATTATAATCGCTTCCTGTAATAACAGTTTCCTTCACATAATCCTTTTTAACATGAATATTGCACCCCAAAACTAATGTGTAATATTAACTTAAAGATAGTCGTTTATCCTGTTGTCATGAATTCTTTCATATAGATAATAAGAAAGAAATCGAATGGGGGAATACTTATTTTAGGTTTGGTGGGTGTTTTGTTTCTATCTGAATGCGAAGAAAATAGAAGTATAACTTGCAAGAAGTCAACCACTATAGGGGATCGTCGGCTTTAAGTCCTCTCTGCGGGACTTGGTAATGAGTATTAATTCCTCACCAAAAGGCACTAGCGTATCAACTTGGTTTCGAACCCGGGATCTCCCTGTTACAAGACTACTCTATAACACTGAGCCATGGTCCATTAGTACTGTATGTTTTTGTTTCTATATCCCTATTTGTTGCGCAATAAAATTTAAGACAACCCATAAATGAAACTGTGTCATTGAGAGATGTCCCATCTCGGAAACAGTAACAAAAACCAGTCCCATTCCCCATTTATTTTAACAAACTCCCCACTTTTCTGAAAGGATTTAAAAATCGGCTCAGAAGAAGGAAAAAAATCAATCCTCCTTACAGTACCTACTCATGCCGGCTTATCCATGTTTACCTCCCCCCCCCCCCCTCCCCCGCTTCAAGAGGATCTTGCCCTCTGTTTCTAAATATCTGGATACACCACTCTAGGAGATTTGCAGAAAAAATCCGAACTTGAATAAACCTATAGTGAACATCGCAGTTCCTTGCAGGTTATAATTCAAAATTTGCAGACGTTGTATTCCGAAAGCACGAGAATTGCCTTGTAATACTAATGTCACACCACCGAACAGACATCTTCTTCAAACCAGGAAGCTGTAATGAATGGAGATACCGTCTCGAAAGAATTTTCCGAGGGAAAATTATTCAAGATTAACCTGGCTTAACAAAAAGAAATGTAACCCTCTCCCAGTGGCGGATCCAGGGGGGGGGGCCCGGGGGGCCCGGGCCCCCCCCCCTTGAGAAAAAAATCATGTAAAATCACGTGATTTTTACGATTTTTGGGGGTTGGGCCCCCCCCCCTGGCGCTCAAGGGGGGGTGCAAATTGAAATTTTTTTGAGGATCAAAAAAAAAAAAATGTGCTCCCCCCCCCCCCCCCCCCCCCCCCCCCCCCCCCCCCCCCCCCCCCCCCCTGAGCGAATTTTTGGCCGGCGCGTTTTTCAAATTTTCGGGAGCAAAAAAAAAAAAAAAAAAAAAAAAAAAAAAAAAAAAAAAATTGTGCTCTGTACCACCCTCCCCTCCCCCCCCCCACTGAACGACTTTTCGGCCGGCGCGATTTTCAAATTTTCGGGAGCAAAAAAAAAAAAAGTTGGGCCCCCTCCCCTAAGAAATCCTGGATCCGCGCCTGCCCTCTCCAGCCATCATTTCCATCTACAGCTGTCCATATCAATGCACAGTCCCTCTCTGGCATTCCAAATAGTACGAAATGTTACGCAACGCCATCTGCTTCCCTAAGTTCTCTATTCACTCGTTTGCAAAAATATGCAAGCATCGGGCTTTGAAGCCATGCGTGGCACCGACAAATTAAGTCATGTTCATGAAAGATGTATTTAGCTATAACATATAAAATGCAGAATTCACAACATTATGACCAATGCAACTTTCTATTAGTCATCAAATGCGTTTTCCGTTCTCGGATAGCTCTACTGAAGACATGGCCATTTTAACCAGCGAAATCGACCAAGGAAATCATGAGTTAGAGCGAATGAAAGATTTTCATAATCATGATTTTCTCATCTAATTATTGACATTTTCCGAAAATTTCCGAAATTTGTACTAGCTAGGAAGGTAGTCCAAAGGTTTATCTTCCTAAAGAACTAAATGAAATTGTGTTATATGTTTGCGCATTTATTGATTTAGGGCTAGAAGTTGTCAAGTTAGCACCACTATTCACCCAAAGTACGGGCCGGCAAAGCAAAAGCCGCCGTGCTCGCTGGGCTGGGCTGTGTGTGGAAAGGGAGGACTTAGTGCTACTAGGGAGCTGTAAGGTTTTGGAGGGGGATTAAGGGGATTACGGTAGGGGAAACAAAAGACGCGCGGTGCCACGGATGACTTCAAAGGGGCCTCTTGGACGGGATCTCCATTCATTACAGCTTCCTGTTCAAACCGATCGATTCAAGGTAATTGAGGGTGATATTACTATTTGATCGGACTGTTGTCAGTCTGGTGTTGGTTTTATTTGTGTGACTGGGGTTTTGAGAAGGAGAGTGGTGTTGTTGTCAAATTTATCAGGCAAGGATTCCTATCCTTTATCATTATGAAAAATTGAGCGACAAAAAACAAGAGCTAGAAGAAGAAAAACTGCAACAACAAAAAAAAAGCGTGAGAACGCCAAAGTTCAAATAATTGAAAAGACTGTGAGATTTAGAAAACAGCGATTACATAACCATTCAATATCCTGTCTTTCACTGATTCTCACAGATTTTCCTTGGGCCGAGGGTTCAGACTACGCTGATCCTCTTCCCGATGAGCAAATGCCCAGTCATGACTACGGTCAAAGCTATGTCTTTCCGGAACCAGCGAACCCTGGTCCCGTCTTCCCGTTTCCGAACTCCCCTTACGTCATCCCTGAGCCTGCCGTCGCCGAGACGCAAACAGTGGTTGCACTTCCGGTTCAGCCAAAACAACGCCAGGTTCCCCTTCCGGTGGAGCCGACAAATGTGGTTGCTACTACGCGTGTGAGTCCTAGTGAGTCATCAACGGTTTATTTTCAAGTTTCGATATTACGTTATGTTTGGAAAAATTATCAATTTGTATCATAACTTGTGGGAACTTCCAAAAACTCTCAAAGAAACATGATTGATTGTTTAACTAGTTAGCTACGGATCAACGTAATTCATTTCCCTTTCCTTGATTGTCATTGGTGCTATTTCGTTTGGAAAACTAATTTGTTATCATAATTTGTCATCTGCTTAGTGAAATCACAACTCGCCCTCTCTTCTTGTTTTCAGATTTAATTTGAAAACTAATTGTCATATTAGAAGTGCAGAACAGACCTTTCATGATAAGAATAAATCGGTTTTACACCATTTCTTAATCTCTTGGATTAATATTAAGTCAATGATATATTGTATACGTAAAAGAAGTTTGATCAGTTTTTCGTGTTTTTTATGATGCTATTAAATGCAAAATGCTTTCAAAGATAGTTTTACTTTTCATTGTCATTCGTGTATTTGTCATTTGAAATATTAAATGAGGCCAATTTAGCCTACGTTTTACTTTTTAGTTTTATTTCCAAACCCTTAGATTTCGTGTAATCATGATTTTCATTTGAACATTTTGATTCTTTTAATAAATTGTAACAACGTCGATTAAAAGAGTACTAAAAAATAATGTTATCTCATGATTGTGACCATATGATTTATTCTTGATAGATACAGTTTATTATCTTCCCGGAACTTTCTTGACCAATTATTACAAATAAATCTTCTTTGATCTAAGAAGATATTAATTTTATTTGAAGATGAATACTTTTTAGGATACACTTTTTCTTGGATATTCTTCCGCACTAACTTAAAAAGAATTAAAAAAACTAACAAACCATTTTTATCTTTCTTAAAACTCAACCTTCTCTTCCATCCTCTCATTAGGTACGGAACGAGTCCAAACTACTTTGAGTCCTATTCTAAGCCCCGATCATTATGTACGTGTTACGATGAGGATGGTGAGTCCGTTAGGGGTGGACCAGGGATCTTCATCCTTCAGCTGTTACCTCAGCCAGCCAGACGTGGGAAGATCGACTCTCTCAACAGGTATCACACTTCTTCCTCCTTCTTCTTCTCTTTCTCTTCTTCTTCTTCTTCTTTTTCTTTTTCTTCTTCTTCTTCTTCTTGTTCTTGTTCTTCTTCTTTTTCCTCATATCTTCCCTATCTTCTCATCCTGTTCCTTCTTCTTTTTCTCCTCCTTTTTAAAAAACCTTATTGCTGTCCTACTTTTTCATGTTTTAGTGTTTTCTTTCTTTTTCTTCTTCTCCTCCTCTTCCTCCTCCTCCCGATTCATCTTTTCTGTTGCATACTTTCTATTTCCTTCTTATTCTTCTTCTTCATCGCCATCATCTTTATCATCATCATCATCATCATCTCCATCACTCTCCCTCTCTCTCTCTCTCTCTCCCTCTCTCTCTCTCTCTCTCTCTCTCTCTCTCTCTCTCTCTCTCTCTTTCTCTCTCTCTCTCTTTAATTCAGACACCTTTCGACTACTTGATCTATTTTTGTCTAAGTCAACTGGTATATTGAATAAACCCACAAACAACAAAAAATGTACACATAAAGAGTGATTTTTACTTTGCCAATATATAGAATTTATTGCCAAATTTAAATTTCAAACGTTCTTTTTCATAAATGGCACAATATACTGTGACAGAAAAGGACCTTTCACTCCGATTTTTGCCCTTTCTAATGTAGTGTATGTGTAATTCATAGTAATCAAAAGTTGATGCCAAAATCTTGCTTAATGGTGACACTAAACAGCACTAGGTCAATAATGTTGGGTTAATAATATTGCAATGTCTTTCGAAATCGGATCTTCGTTGGATCATGTAATGTGTTGGCCATGTTGGGGCTTTAAACAGTAAGTTTGACCAAACGGCTACTATCATTGCAGGCCGATATTCTCAGACTGGAGATGGGGGCACAGTAGGGGCGTGGTCCCTTCCAGAAGGGCGTAGACTAGGAGGTCATGGTATGGCGGTGGACCTGACTACCAGTGGTACAGGTGGATTTGGGACCTTCTACTGCCAGGGATCGCAGCCTGGCAAAGATACTACGACAGTGGTTGGGGTCTTTCTGACGTCAAATCGTGAGTACATTGTATACACCATAGGAAGTTAAGGATTTCTTGACAGTGTTGAGTTTTAGATATGACCTCCCCCCCCCCCCCCCCACTCTCTCGGGCTTTTTCGTTAACGCTTTTCTCCTCACTTCACTTTGTCTGTCCCCGCTTTCCACCCCCCCTCTCTCTCTCTCTCTCTCTCTCTCATTTTTATTGTTATAAAATTACGTTGCTAATCGATTGGGGGAGGGGGTATATCCCTGGATAGCTATAACATTTAAATAAATAATAATCATGCAATTTAACTTTTAATCAATAAAGCCCCCTCCCCCTCCCTCAACCAAAGATAAAAGAAAAACTACTGACAGAATTAGGCGTGGGCCATGGTCGTGTACGTCACACGTAACCTTGACATCATGAAGCTTCTAATCTGTTCATTCCCTTTCCTGTTTTATAAGCATTATCAGTCTTTCCTCACCACCATGCACAGATCAAGATATTGAATGTAACGATTACAATCTGTTAAAACTTACAACTGAGTCATAAATGATATGATGAACGCGTCAAATAAACCCTTTCAACCTATAAAGATGTTTATCATCTATGTGCGCCCACCCCCTCTAACCCTTTATAACAAATTAAGTTCACGCAAACTTTGAAGGAGTAGAAACCTTCTTGTGTGAGTTCAAATTCATGTTGTTTCCAAATACATCAACATCATGCTCCGTTAATTTCATTTTGTGTCTGGAAGTTTATATTGTTGTTAGGCACATCCATTTATCCTGTTGATAATAGTTTTAAAAATAAATAAGTAAAGATATCGGAGAAATGGTTTAAACATAGGTCGTACGTGATTATGAAAATGCTGTAACCATTTGTAAAAGGAAGTTCAAATTAAAAAAAATGCTTTAAGGATTGTTTACATGTAGAGAAAACGCAAAATGTCATGATGAGAGTATAAAAACAACACATCGTCATCATCAACATTGCGGCCACATCCACCACTAAAACATCCATCACCATCACCAACTTAATTATGGTTGTCATCAACATTACCTTTGTATCATTATCATCTCCATCATCATTATGATCATCAACATCATCATCCTCAACATCATCATCATCATCATCATCATCATCACCACCACCACCACCGGCAGCATTGCTTGTCAGTGAAGGTAGCAATCTCCTCCTCGTTGGAACATGTTGTCAACGCTAACACTGTTTTATTATAAACGAGATCCTTCTCTTCATATTTTCGTTTTGGTAATACTTTGCTGAACAAACCGTATCCATTCGCAGTAACCGTTTTTAATGGCAAAATAATCATCCCTGAACTCTACCTTCCCTACATCTCATGATAACGACCGGGATTTTGTCGACCGAAATTTGAGGGAATTTACTACAAACGCATTTGGATAAAGGACTTTTTGTATCGAATCAAAATGTTTTTCTGAAACCTTGACAATTGTTTGGTGTTTAATGGCATACTGCAGTCTTATTTCGGTGGCATTATCATTCTGGCCCGAAACTAATTCACTGCAATTAACGTGTCCACTGAATACCTTAACTAATTATATTGCCTAAATGACCTTTTTGGAGGATCTATGACTTTTTATCACTTTTAATAAGAAGACCAGATAATCAAATTTGATTTTCCCTGTGCTCTGTAGTTTTCTTAATCAGCTGATGTGATTGTTTGATAGATAATTCATTAACATTAATACTAGAAATGCGATGCTCTGCTTGCAGGTACGCAACAATAATGGTGGTGGTGATCCTATGGTTTCATTTCCTATCCGAGGGACTCGGATTTGAGCCAACAAGATTATGCCAAAATCCATACTTCAAACTCGCCCCTAACCCTAATACTTTGTGTATGGGTATGCAAAGACGTTGGATGCGTGTGCGTATGTGTGCGAGTATGTGGGTGTGTGTGCGTGTATGTGTGGTATAGTGTACTTTCGAAAAAATTGAAGTGCTTATAGTTCACTGTCGGGTTGACGTCTCTTTTCTGCCATCATGACGTTGGAGGAAATAATGTTCGCGTTTCTGTTTCCGGTGACTTACATAGCCGGATGAGGAAAATATTGTACTCTCACTTATAAACGTTGCAGTTTCAATTATTTCCCAAATTGCCAACCCCTATACCACCATATGCAGGCCAAGGAAAAGAAATCGACTGCACATAAGGCTGACATGATACATTTACCCCTCTCCCCCCCCCCACACACACACGCCTAGCAATTAATGGATACGCATATGAATTGACACCCTTCCGCCTCGATGTTAAGAAATTTAATCTTTTGTGGGATTGAATATGAAATAGAACTCTCAATATATAAGGCAGTCGATACCCCCCAAACCAACAAAAATAACGTCAACAAGAAAAACAACATCACATCATCAACCATCACCACCACACAAAATAATTAGTAGCGTAAAAATATGGACCACATCGAGGAGCAGTGTTTCTTGTGACGCTTTGATGCAATCTTGTAAATTTTCCTTCGTTACTCAGTAGAACTATTTCGAAACTGCAATATTTCGGTACACCAAACATGGTCTACGTAATTTGTTGAGACACCTTATAGTTAAAGACAAATCTGCTTCCAAAAATCATACTTGTTCTGTTTTGCTGTAACGGTTTTGCATACCTCTCAATGAACTCTGCGGTTTATACTTTTTATATCTAAAATATAATCAGGCACAGTGGCGTAGCCAGGGGAGCACGATGGAACAGGAATATTCCCCTCCCTCCCCCACATTCAAAAGAGTAAGAGAGAAGGGGAACAGAATGTAGAGAGAGAGAGAGAGAGAGAGAGGGGGGGGGAGACAGAGGGGGAGAGAGATAGAGGGGAGAGAGAGGGGATATAGATAGAGAGAGAGAGAGAGAGAGAGAGAGAGAGAGAGAGAGAGAGAGGAAGAACTGGTGTCGTGAAAATAACTCGATACAATCCCTTTTCCCTTTAATACTCGATGACATTGTTACATTGCGTTTCATCCACGTAGTAAGCCCAACGCCCCTCCCCATAAACGTCAGCGCCCCCCCCCCCAATGCCTGGATCACGCTACGCCACTGAATAAAAAGCCCTCTGATAAATGCTTGGAATGACACTTCCATAGATTTTATCTTTGCACCTTTTAGGGCCCGCGCGTAGGAGGTTATGAAAGTTCAAAGTTATTCTTTCCTTCTAATGCCATCAACACCTGATCAAAGGTAAAGCCATGAGTAGTCAGTGCACTTCCGTATAGTGAATTTTCAAGTGCATGGAGTTGTAAACAGTGCAATACCTTGAACATTCGTTTAAAAAGCGGTTCTAAAAGGGGGCTTTAGGAGCTCAAGCTCAAGCCCCCCCCCTCCCCCTCAACAAAAAAGTTATATGAATATCAAGACCCCCTAAAAAGACTTGATTAAATATAAGCGAGCCATATGTTGACTTTAACCTGTTTCCATTACTAGGACATTGATGATTATTACAGACTGTGTAATTGCTTTCCCTTTTGTAGGTGCATATTAATGTAAACTTGACGAATCCCTATTTGTGTATGTAATTTATGATGAAAATATCGGAAAATTTTGGAATCTATTTCAGTAAATTGAATTGATCTGATTTGATTTAGTTTGACGTAAATGCGCCCTTGCAAGCCCCTCCCCCAAGATCCTCTCGGACCGCGGGTGTTTCTAAATGATCATTTCCCTTTGTATATGGTTATCGAAATCTCAAATACCACATGCTATTTTTGAGAAATAAGTCTGTGTTAAGAAACACAGTTAAGATAGCCAATGTTATTGCAATTTTTTTTTAGAGAAGGGGGACTTTGTGACAATACTCTTTTGATTTTTCAAAGCTTATTTCAAATGTAAATTGTGGATCTATTTTACCATGTGTAATATTTATAACTGCAATATTTTTTGAGGCGCGCAATACTTGCAAGAAATTTTTTCGTTTCATTCACAGATAAGTATATATATTATTGACTGAATTATTCTCACTGAGCAAATAAAAGAAAATTCATTCTTTTTTTACATTCGTATATACAGATACTCATACATGTCAGGAAATACATGTCGACATTATTTCCAAATGGAGAAATTGTTTCCTGTGCGAAGCCAATGCAGGTTTACAAGTTCAAACAATGTTAAAATTAACCGTCCTGAAATAATGAATACAGTATACACGACAACTATCATGATAAGGAAAAACGCTCTACTCAAGTCTAAGTTATCATTTGATGTTATTAATTGGAATACTTTAATAGCTTTCATCTTATTTTGCTTCAGCGAAAATCATTCCCACCGATGGAAGATTTACGAAGACAGTCAGCCTTGGTGACGTAGATGTGACACTAGCAATGACCCTTCGCAGCCCTGCCGACGCTCTGACCAATCAGGTTCAATGGCGTAGAAATGGACAAGAAGTTATAGAAGACATGTCGGGATTGGCCAGTGTCACATTTAGGCGACCAATCACAGAGACCGTTGCTGGCGTATATGAATGCTTTTATGCAAATGAGAGGAATCAGGCTCGCCATGGCATCGTGAGGCTCATTGTCCGAGGTATTATAATTATGATTATGATTATGATTATGATTAAGGATGAGATATTAATCTTGCATACACGTGAAAGGCCTTGTGTAGACCTGACATGGTAATTTGCCAAAACCCAGACAAAAAATAAATAATTCAATTAGACAAAGAAGCAAACTATCAACTATCACCTCGAATAAAGAAAAACATTCAAAGTATGGCACAATAATATGAAAAGGGTCTTTATGCCACAAATTTTCCTTAAAAAAGCTTTCTCTCTATGTTGTTATATCCACAATATTATTTAATGCACCTGTCTTTATGCCAATTTAGTTTGCCGCAATGTGTGGTTTCTTTTTGGTCGATTGCCCTGAACATGTGTGAAAGGTACTTTGTTTAAGAGTTTAAGAATGGATTAGATTGTTGGACTATTCAAATATTTCTTGTGAATGGTAAAATAAAATTGTATTTTTAATATTCTTTCAGCTTGCATGATATTCGCTGCAATCAAAGATGTAGCATTACCAGAAAATAAGCGGTTGGTGCCCTTTTCAAAAGGAAATTATTGAATTCAAATATCAACATCTTCCTTTCACATTAGGTTGCCCGACTGGTCGATGGAATCCACCTCGCTGTACCGGGGTATGCGATGCTTGTTATAATGGTGGAATGTGTGACCACGTGACAGGATGGTGCATTTGCCCTCCCGGCTTCACCGGAGAGCACTGCGAACAAGGTACTCTTCTTCTTGACCTCCTCAAAGAGCGATAACTGTCATTTTGGACAATAACCAAGCAAAGTCTATTTTACAACGTGACATAATGTGTAGACTTTTAATAGGACAATTCTTAGTCGGAACTATACCGCAGTGATACCGTCAAACTGAATTCAAACTGACCGATAACTGATGACCGATAAATATGTATTATGGTATAAGAAAATCACGATACATGTAGTCGTCTTCATCGTTCATCGAATCCATTAATATACCTAGAATAGTTAATGGAATAAATAATATTCATATTTTCAGCATGTGGTTTCAACAGCTTTGGTGTTTCGTGCGAGTTTCGATGTTCATCATCAGTTGACGAATCTGTCTCATGCCGAGGTAGTCAATTTTGCCTTCCAGACCCATTTGGCTGCACCTGTAATGCTGGATTTAAGGGACTTCGATGTGAAGCAGGTAGGTCACAACAGGACATGGGGAGAAGATGAGATGGGGATATTTTTCTTTTGTATGACATTTTGCAGTTACAGTGACAAATCAGAGTTAAAGAGCCACGTAAGGGCGTCATCCCACAAAAGATTGAGGTCTTTGACAGTGTGTAGAATATATTATCACACCAACAAGACAGGGTGACGTAAATGATATAATACCATCAAGATAGGGTGACGGATATGCTATATTTCCATCAAGACAAGGTGACGAAATTTGTTTCATCAAGATGATACATCACCAAGAAAGGCTGACGATTATGATATTAACCATCAAGACAGGATGACGAAGGACTTTTGATATCATACCATCCAGACAGGGTGACGAAGATGATATCATAACATGAAGACAGGATGGTGAATATGATATATCATCAAAACAGGGTGACGAAGATGATATATCAACAAGACAGGGTGACGAAGATGATATCATAATATCAAGACAGGGTGACGAAGATGATATCATATCATCAAGATAGGGTGACGGATATGCTATATTTCCATCAAGACAGGGTGACGAAATTTGTTTCATCAAGATGATACATCACCAAGAAAGGCTGACGATTATGATATTAACCATCAAGACAGGATGACGAAGGACTTTTGATATCATACCATCCAGACAGGGTGACGAAGATGATATCATAACATGAAGACAGGGTGACGAAGATGATATTATACCATCAAGACAGGGTGACGAACGTGATATCATAACATCAAGACAGGGTGACGAAGATGATATCATACCATCAATACAGGGTGACGAAGATGATATCATACCATCAACACATGGTGACGAAGATATAATTCCATCAAGACAGGGTGACGAAGATGACATCATTCCCACAACAAATGGTGACGAAGTATGTTTCATCTTATTTATCCTGATCATCATCCTCTCGTATTGAAATTATACCATCTTTCGTTACACTGTAATTGCAAACATATTATCAGACACTAACCTTGAGAGCTAGGCATAGACCTTAACGATGCCACTGTAAATGATTCATTGAAACTAAAAGTAAGGTCTGACGTCCATTTCTTTTCCCATGTAGATTGTGATGCAGGTCAATACGGTGCCGGGTGTCTTCAATCGTGTCACTGCGCGTCGGGTCACTGTGACCGGTTTACAGGTCAATGCCTCGGATCACCATCGGGTTGTTCTCGCGGTTGGTCAGGGGTGAATTGTCAAGGTTCGTATTTGTCTGATGTGTAATTACTCTGTGGTCATTTGTTATTGTACTTGTGTCATATATTTTGATATGTACGGAAACCCACCGTACGATTTTATAAAACTGACTGTGCCTATAACTAGCTGTTTCGGCAAACATTTGAAAATTAATTAGCAATGATGATACTAAGTATAAATAGTGAATTAGCATTTAAGTCAAAATTATATTTCAACAAAACATCTTCAGGAATTTAACAGTATCTCGGTATTTGAAATTAAAACATGTATTATTTTATTGTTCTCATTGAAGAAAACCATGAAGTATTTCTTGCCTATTAACTTGCGCTGAAATTCAAAAAGTGCAATAGGGATAAATCGATGATAAGCAATACTATTTTACGAGCAAATAATATCAACCTGACTGTTTATATATCACAATAAAGGCATCCATCATTCTTCACCTTCCTTTATGTCACCTTCTTTAGTTCCTGATGTCTGTCCAAAGGGGTATTTTGGAGCGGCGTGTCTTAGTAAGTGTTACTGTGACAACGGCGTGGCGTGTGATAAGGTGAGCGGCAAATGTCCTCAGAAACGATGTGCTCCTGGGTTTGCTGTATACGACGATGGTCAACATTGCTCAGGTATTACATTTACCATGCTCCGTTCTAAAGTAGTTTGACTATTTGTTATTATATGTTTGATTCTCCGTCTCAATATTCTCTTTCTCTTTGTACTTACTTTAGTATTCCATTTTGTTCTTAAACAATGAATTTATAAAGAGCAAAATAGACTTGGATGTCTTTGCATGCGCTTATCTATATCTAGCATTATGTATATGTTGTTGAGCACCAGAAATCTATCTATATATCTCTACTGTTTAGCATCTGTTCGAAATCAAGTTCTTATTCTAGCTCTTCAAAATGTTATATTGCAAGTTTGTCATGTTGCAAATCCGCTTTCTTTCACTCTAGTATATTGACATGTTCAAAAGTTTATGAGGACATTTATGAGGGCTTACTTAATATGCTGCTAATGAATTATTATGGAGAGCGGTGTCTTAAAATGGTGGTTTAAATGTATAATAAACAAATAGCTCAATAAATAAATGCCTATTTTTATAAATAAATAAAACAATTAAGAAATAAATAAAATGTGTAAATAAATAATAAAAAACATTTTAAACTAATAAATGAACGAACTAAATCGATAATTTAATCAATAAATAAATAAAATACATAATTTTCACACTGTCATGCAGGTTGTCGGCCTGGTACATTCGGTATTGGATGCTCGCATACCTGCCCTTGCCATGCCGATGCATGCCATCCGGAAACTGGAGAATGTAGTGGGAGATGTTTTGATCGGTTCATCAAGCCTACATGTCATGCAGGTAGGAAAACATCTATTTCCCTCTTTTCAATATCAAGGAAAACTAATAAATGCGTCTTATTTACCCAGGGTAGCCTTATCAGCATTCCTGCTGGTCTTCATATTGGCCCTGCAATGTATATTGCCATTGCCATATTCCCATTGACACCTGGATTTAGAGGGACAAGGGTGTAAGCACAGAGCGAGAATCGAACCAAAGACATCTGAAAGAGAGTCAATAGCTTTAATCAATATAACATAGTCCCCCACATGTTGATTGGATTAATTATTTTGTAGATATTATGCAATTTCTCATGTTTCCTGTGATTACCATTTTGAAATAGGTAATGGCTCAATTAACTATATTGTTTAAAGTCTATTTTGAGTGGACGTCTTAAATACCATGACCACGGTGTAAAACAAGTTAAAATGTATCTTGTTATCCAGTGTAACTAAATATTTCGGAAAAACAAATACATAAATACATAAATAAATGAAATTATACAAGAGAAATTAATTCAAGCATGTAGTCGAATGAATTATTCAACTGGTTTTCTTCCAAGAGTTCCTATGTTTAATATGGGTCCGATAATAGGAAATATATATATGGAGTTTCTTTCGAAACTTTATGCATCCCTGAATTATTCCCATCGTTTTTTATTCTAGGTATCTCGAGCGTGACGACAACCAGAGTAAACACGGGACAGACAGCCTCCTTCAATTGCACCATTACATCGTCCATGTCACTCTCATCGTCATCGTCGTCGTTGGCATCGTTTTCGAGAAGCCCATCTGCCATTCTTCCATCGGCTTCTACCGTTGTGCTCTACCGCATCTCCGGGGGTGAGAGCCAGGCCGGGGTGCTCCGGCTGGGTACCGTGGTAGAGCCTGGAAGCGAAACAGTCATGTTTGGTGTGGACGGTATAAGACCAGACGAGACGTTGAGATGCGTTGTGATGGGCGCCAATGGAGAGGTTCTGGCGCGCAGAGAGGTTCCAGCAGACACGTACGGTAAGTTGATGAAAACCCAGAATAGTCTCATCTGACTGGGCCCATATTTCATAAACTTATACAAATGCTAAGTGCAAACTTTTGAGTTATGGACGCATGTTCCTAATATTCTTCATAGGCTTGATTGGTGTACCGTAGGTAATTACGGTCGTAATTACAAAACCAGAACCGCACATTTTGTACAATGGGCAGTAACATATGGATACCTTAAAAGTTTGATAAATCAACTCTTAATATCATTTTCTGACCGTTTTAGTTGGCATCCTTTCTGTTTAAAATATATTAAGTAGATAACTACAGAGCTAAGTTAATGAAACATAAATGAATTATTTTTTTGAATTGATTCCCCAGTTCTACCTGTGATGGCCAATCCACCGATAATCACGGAGCAAACAGTTACCAGCATCTCCCTGCGATGGCAGCCGTGGAGCTCTACCGGACCGGACCATACCGGAGACCCGCCTCTCGTTGCTTACGTCGTGCTCTACCGTCTGAACGGAAGAAACGATTGGATGAGGGGCGATCGAATACCGGCGATCCGCACGTCGGCAACGCAGCGTGACCTTCAACCTCACACGTGGTATGACGTCAGTGTGGTGGGTGTGAGGGAGGGGCTAGGAGGTGAAGGATTGCCTAGCCCTTGGACGACTGTCCGGACTTTCTGCCAAGGTAATGGGTTTAAACAATCATAAAAGATCATCTAAATACCTGAAAGATTAAACATAAATACGTATGTCCTTTGCACACGAGGCGTTATCTTGCAGATGTAGGACTATATACTGTGCGGTACGGTGTTCGCGTCAGGAAATGATGCAAACGACAAATTTCATCATAAACTTGACTAGAGCTGGCGTAAAGATTTAGTAGAGATTGCATCAATAATGAAGACTGCAGTTTTATAACAATATAAAGCTACCTATAACAGTCTAATAACAATTAAAACTGACCAACCCTAAATAAGAAGCTTAAAATTGGGTACTGAATGTAAAAGCATTTGAGTACCATTGACAGTCTTTACAAAATGCTGAAACGTTTTTATAAAATTAAGCGGGTTCTTTTGATACATGAACAAGTGCTGTAACCGTTACTACTTTTGTGTTTATGAACTTACTTTCTTGTTAAGGAAATATAGATACATTAAGATAATAATAATAATAATAATTACATTTATAGGGCGCTTTATACAGACGTTTCTAACAGCACAGGTGGTACTGTCTAACTTATAATTATTGAACATGTTCAATACCTTAAAAGCAACAAAGTAAAATGAAATAATACTAATACAATGCAATACAATACAATTGAGTTGAATGGAATTAAGATCTTCTTCTCCTTCCAATTGCAGTGCCGAGTCGACCACCTACTGTGATAGCATCCAGCGATACGAAGTTTCCAGGACAGATCTTAGTCGCTTGGCAGGTTGCTGGCTATGTCAATCATGACAAAATTATTAAATTGATAACCGGTGGCACAGCATGGGTGTGGCCATCTAGGAGACACTTGTGTCATGGGATGGAGGGGCAGGGCCGTAGCCAGAGTTTTTTTTTTTTTTTTTTTTTTTTTGGGGGGGGGGGGGCACATACATGTAATTGATCGACGTCCTGGGGAGGGGTCTGTGGAGGGGTGGGGTGGGCGGGTGTAGCGGTCTAACTAGGTGAATGAAGACAATGTAATGAGCGGGGATGACGTATTTTCTATTCACATCACATCATTTCTATATATTGTTATATGACTGTGTAATATTATTGCCTTTTGTGACAAAACTTTTCATTTTCTTTTGATCTACCTATATGTACGACTATATCATTATCATTTTTTATTTATCAGATTCACAATATTTTTTTTTCTTCAATGTTTGATACGGCCCAAATGGAAACCGGTCTTGCCAATGTTGTGGCTTTTTACCGTCTATAAAAGAATATAAATAAAATATTAAAAAACAAACAAAATATTAGTAGAAAAATATTACGCAATCATTATGCTTTATCTCTTTCTTGTAAACATTTTTTCAAAACGTTTATTTATTTCGCACTGTTAGACTCCTGATCCAACCGTCATACGATGCCCATCTGGTCTGGTGGGATTCAATATTTATTATCGAGAGATAGACTCGGCCCACAGCGAAACGGGGACGCTGCGACTATTCACTCCTACAGTCACCAACCAAGTAGTGACTGGACTACACGTCTACACCAAATACCTCGTCAGTATAAGTTTATTAAATGAAGCGGGAGAAGGGGAAAGAAGCGAAGAAGTCATGGTTTTCTCTCCGCAAGAAAGTGAGTTATAGAATATCATTATGAACAAGTGGTTGAGGTTTTCATAATGTTTCGGCTTTATCAGTGCACGGGGCTAAAATGCACATTATGGACATATTTAATATAGAAAATAAGCTATTGTTACTTTTGTCAATTAAGCTATAAGGCCATTAAAAAAATAAACATGTTTAGCGTCCACGCCCGCTTCCTTTTTTGGGGCCGCCTCCTTTTTAAATTTTTTTTTAAAAGAAAAAACACATGAAAAACACTGCTAAAATTGATCAATTTCTGATTTTTAAAAAAATGCAGGCGGCCATCTTGAAAAATAGCGCGACTGTCAGGGCAAATGTACCGAGCGGCCATTTTGAAAAAGAAAAAAAAAGAAAAAAAAGGCCTCCTCCTTCCTATTTTTTAAAAAGGCACGACGCCAAACATGTTTTTTTTTGTGTGGCCTAATTGCGTATTTCCACGTGTCTTGTAAAATATGGTTTATGATAATTCTTCGAGAAAACCTATGAACTTTACTTCCCCCTCGAAAGTCATTCATATAGTATATTTTCCACAATAACTAACTACAGTAGAAGTGTTTTTTCATTGTAAGTAGGGAGATATATTCTTCAAATATATTGTAAGATTATATCTAACAGCATGATTTAGAGGCTACCCAAGTTCGAAAATGGTCGTGTTAAAGGTTACTTTCTTTCCGACAATATACACTATAACCTCAGTGTGTATGATGGGCCTAAATGAAATATTTATTCGGTAAGAGATTTCTTCAACTGTAAACTTTTTTTTGAGACGCACTGTATAATATTGTATTTTTAAAAAATAGATGTCATGAATCACATCATTCTAATATCTGAAAATGAGTTATCCCTGCACCTCTCGTTCATTTGCGGTAAATTTCAAATCAATTTCAGTTCCACCTCCTCCTATTCATCTGACTGTTGAACAGCCAACCAAAGAGAGCGCTCTGATTTCCTGGGAAACTCCTTCGCCATCAAATATCAACGGGAAAATAAGGTCAGTTTTCTAGCTACTGGGGAGTTCAATATGGGGTTGAGCAGATGAAGCCTCTTCCCCCTTTTTGAAGCGCTACAACAACTTGAAATTGGTTTAGTCCACATGAAGCGGGGAATTCCAGACGCTGCTATCCCTCTCTCGTCCCCCTTAACATTCTCTCCCTCTCTCATATTGTCTCCTCTCTCCCTCATTCACTCACATCCTCTTTCTCTTTCTTCTTTAAATCCTGTAAAATAAGTTCTTTCTCCCTACAATTCTCTCTGTCACCCTCCACACACAACTCCACGCACACCCTACACATCCTCTCTCTACCTTCCTCTCCCTCCCCTCCTCCAACGACCCCTCCCCCTCTCTCTCTCTCTCTCTCTTTTTCTTTTCTTCCTTTCCCAACGAGGCTTAAGCAGTTGCGTAGAATAAATCATCAATCACTCAAATCCTTAACCTTTATTCAAATACTCATGTATAACTTTCTCTATTTTTTCTCTCTCGTATGACAGATTTTTTGAGCTCCAATACAAGTTTTGGGCTGATCACAACGATGATCTTGCTGAATCACACTCCATTCAAATCAACAATACATCGTTAGAGATGAAGTATGAGCTGAAAGGTCTTGTAGCTAACCTTTCGTATTCCTTCAAGGTGAGTGAAGGCTTGTTCAAATATGGTGCGGTAAACTGCCGCAAAAAAAAAGAATACCATCGCAGTGTTTTTCTTATGGTGCGGTAAAACCGCGCAAAAAAGAATACCACCTCGGTTTTTTCTTTACGTGTTAAATGAATGGCAACTGCGCGGGACAAGAGGGCTTGCGCGATATGGAAATGTGAAGTGGATTAAACATTACATCATCAAAACAAAAATCCAACGTGATTTTGCCGCGTCATATATTAACAAATTAGTTAGTTTTTTTTGTTCTGCTGAAGCCCTTTCAGACTCGACGGCGTAAAGCGCGGGTAAATGTGAATTAATGTCTGGCCAAATGACGTTAGTGTCGGGCTTGGATTCGAACCCTAGGCCCTTAGGTTAAGAGTCAATTTAAACAACCGCACCTCGACACTTCCGAGAAGAAAAAAAAAACTTTAATCTGTAAACGAGTAACAAATTTCTTGAAATGCAGTTTATGGTGATTAGGGCGGCTGGGTCTTATTCCAGGGTAATAACAGTTTGAAAGTGCGCAGCCACTTATTATCATATTTTGATACACCCTTGCCAAACAAAGAAAAATTACAAAAATCGAATTTCATGATTATGTGTATTGTTGAAATTACAAGGTAACAATTCACTTTTTAAGAAGTTTGAACGCCATAAACATATTGTTTCAAGTTGCTTTCATAAATTATAACTTTGACAATTTATAGTTTTTTCGGATGCAGTCAAATGAGAATTGATCTTTATGAATTTATTGGCCTTATAGGTTCGGACGGTGAACGATGTAGCTCCTGGTGACTGGTGTGATCCAATTATTGTGTCAACTCAAGAGGAACCACCAGGTATTATATATCATTATTCTTGTTATTATTATCAATATTGTCATTATTATCATTATTAATATTATCATTATCATTATCATTATTATCTGGTAGCCTACTGTTATTATTATTATTATTATTATTATCATTATTATAATTATCATTATTATTATTATTATAAGAAATAGCAGCAATATTAATAGTAGCATCAACATCATCAACATGATGATGATCAATACTACCAGCAAGCGTAATTCTTCTTTTTTTAATTGGGCGCCTGCGTTTATTGTTTAAAAAAAGAATGGAAAAATACTTGTACTTACCGAGTATTCTAATTCTGAATAGTTGCATCATTTTGAAGAAATTCCTATTCTAATGCAATCGGTATTGTGATTGCCCATGATTTGATGCGTTGCGTTTACATTTGTATTTTCTCTGTTCCTTTTCAGCTCTCCTCGCTCATGGTCGGAGTAGTATCCACGGACCGAAAGTTGGCCTGAGCATTATGGGCGTGTTCGTTGGGCTCCTCCTATTGGCTGGTCTATTTGTGGGCGTGGTCAGATTTCGAAAATTTCGAAAGAGGATGCGTGCGCAGAAGAACAATGAGTTATCGACGCTGAGGGACACCGTGGCTTTCTCTCGTCGGTCAGTGCGCGTCAGTGATCTCAAAGGAAACGGGAACGGAAAGAAACTTATGGTAATAAGAAGGGGAGGGGAATCCCATTTTGACCTCATGAAGACGACTTTTATGGTTTTTGTAGACTCTTTTCAATCCTTCAAATAAACCTTGCTATAATATCACAGCGTGTGCTCTTAATTCACACGGGACGATTATTCATATCCAACAAATCCAGTTACAATGGAGTGCACACAACGCGCGTTTTTATTGGCGCAAGACTACGTCACCAACTGGTCTTTGACCTGCCATATTGACGCACTCATGAACTGCGTTCACAGGCTTAATGAGCGTAGGTAGTAACTCAATCAAAGTGACGTTTAATATGCAATTGGCATTAGTGGTCCAAATATCAGGTTACCTCTATAAAATCGCAAAGTCTCTTATTTTCGCTAGCCTCGCCTATCACGCGAATATTGTATTTACCTATTACGTAATCGGAACATAATGTATATGGGATATACACTAGAGTATTGGGATTGCACTTGACCTGATTTGTGAAAGTCTTTTCGATCAGGTTCCTCGTACTATGTGTTATAACGCACTCCCAATACATAAATGATACTTTCAATCTGATATCAAAAATTGAAAAAACATAGGTTATACGTGAAAATAGGAAATGATCTATTTCATGAGTCGTCAACTTCCTTTTCTAATATAATCTCTCTCTTTATCTTACACCGTCTCCCCCCTCTCTCTCTCTCTCTTTCTCTCTCTCTCTCTTTCTCTCTCTCCTTCTCTCTCTCTCTCTCTTACTTTATCATTCTCTACCAGACTCTCCATTTATAAGTGCGAAAATTCTCAACTCGTAATAAACGTGTTAAGTACAGCTACGTCTCACGTCCCTAGACCATTTTCTTCACGCATATAATATATATCTGTCTCCCTTCTCTACTCTCTGTTTATCACATGTGATTTGCATTTTTTTAAAATTTGAACTGTGTTGTATTTTATGCCTTTTGAAATAATGCCTTTTGAAAATGGTGATCAAAGGCTTTACGGGAAATTATTAGCTTGGTAATTAGATTAAATGTCGATTTTACACTGTGTTACGCACATTATCCATTCCAATTTTTGAGCATTCCAGCCAGGCGAACAGGCCCAGATCTAAATCTAGCCACTTTGAAAATCGCACGTTATCCCTTTAACACCAGGGTAATTATTGTATATAAAGTGCCTTACTAGTTAAATAACTTCTATGTTTTCGAATGCCTCTCATTATTATTATTTTTTTTTTACAACAGGATGACGTGTATATGACGCCTATTGCTACCGCCAGCTTGACGAAATCAAGCCGCAAGCCAAAACCGAAAGGAGAAGACGAACATAAATACGAATACATCGACCCAATGCGGTTTCCGGTTATGCGATTCGCCATACTCGCCAACGAAAACGAAACGATTATCCACAGCTATCGTTAATGGATCGGTGCTGTCGTCTGATTCTTACATTGCGATCGTAGTTTGTTTGAACTCTGAAAGAGACAGATTCGATTCATACGATGGACTATAGAATAAAGGCGAATGATTTGATACATTTTAAAACGTATATGAAAACGTTAAAGGGAAATAAGGAAGCTTCGATCGACTATTTCGTATTACAGATGTTTATGAACATGAATATAATTTGGAAATATATACAAGGACAACTTGAGGAAACTTTAATATAAATTTTAGAAGAACTTCTTTTTCTTCATTTCTTCCTTTGAAATATTATATCGAGTACAAAAGAAGTTTGGTAGAATATACTCATCCCTGCCGTCCGAGTGGAGACTTTATAGATATTACAGCGAAAAAAGGAAAAGAGTGAAAGTGGCAAGAGTGGATACGAGTCTGGTTCTTTGGATGTCATGATGTGTGGAAGACTATAATTCATGACTATCAAACCACACCTTCTATCAGGGTAGAGATGATCGGTCATATGTTCCGCACCAGTGAACACGAACGCGAAGCCTAGACGCTGCCTAGACACTGGACTGATTCATATAAACCACATCTGGCAGTGGCCCATCTTTACTACTTGGCTCTCATTTCTTTAAATATGTTTATAATATATATGAATATGCGTGTTCGGAATCAAAAGATATGGTAGATTGAAATCAAAGATTTTCAGTTTTAACATACTTTGGGCATTTCCTTGATGTTTTGAAGCGGTAAAAGAAAATAAACTTACTTTTCCCATCGAAAATTTAGCATAAAATATTTCTCAACGAGTTCCTACAACCAAGAACATTGTTGTTGCTACCTTGTTTGGCGTTCAACAATAGGGATAGAGCAACGTCGATCTGGCTGCCGGGCTCACGATCAATTGGGCAAAAAGAATTTCCGTTTCGGTTTAATAAAAATTTGGAGTGGACTATTAGGCTATTATTATTATTATTATTATTATTATTATTATTCTCTTTCTGATTTCACATTATGAGGGAAACTAATTAGAATATTGAAGAAGAATATTAGAATACGTAAGACCTGTGCCGATTGGTTACCATAACCGATGCTAATGCCGCTAGTCTCCTGTGTTCCATTATAACATACCAAACTAAAAATAACTAAAATGTCAATAAAAAATACCTATGTATAGCCACCCTGACACTTGCAGGAAATGTTGCACCGCTCTGCCAGGCATTTATGTTTTGTGTATACCAAGTCGTCCAATATTGTGGTACACCGCCAAGCCAATCAACTCTACAATTTTGCGTTATGTCGTGCCAGAGTTTCAGTTCAAAGAACACACGCACATAAATAGATATCTTCAAAATTGTTAAGCACTAGATAGACATGGTGGCTATTTATACATGCATATATATAATGCGACGAAGATTTCAGTGACATCAATAAATTTATACATAGTATTCTTGGACTTATTAGCATTTTTGCATCACGCCAATATTCGTACTCTGAAATGTCATATTTATTCGAATGTGAATAGACTCTATACGAGGGTCACCTAACGAGAATCTATTCAAATATTGTTAGATTCTAATAAATCTACGCTGCTAAAAGTTACTTGATTTCTAGTCACATTGACGAATTTCGGTTTCAAATCTTTCAATAGCTGTAAACAGATATAAAAATAGGCCTTATATGAGAAATAAAACGTGCAAACGTTAAGAGGACAAAAAAGTTGTTCTCTTAATGACAATGATTAAGTTTCCACTTCTAATGTTCGTCTAATGACGCCTTAAATAAAACATACATTAGCCTACTTAATTATATAAAGAAAACAGAGAGAGAAAGAGGAGGCGTCAAGAAGGAGAGGGGAAGATAGAGAGAGGGGGAGAGAGGGAGGGAAAGAGAGAGAGAAAGGGAGATAGAGAAAGAGAGGGAGGCGGGGAAGAGAGAGAGAGAGAGAGAGAGAGAGAGAGAGAGAGAGGGAGGCGGGGAAGAGAGAGAGAGGGGGAAGAGAGAGAGAGGAGGAGGAGGGAAAGAGAGAGAGGGGAAAAAAGAGAAAAAGGGAGAGAGAGAGAGAGAGAGAGAGAGAGAAAGAGAGAGAGAAATCACTAGAGATGGGAAGAAAGAGAGGAAGCGGGAATGTGAAAGGGCTGCAATCCTACCTGTTACATGTCATATTTAGAATATGATGGCATTTGAAGAGCCATGCTTTTTAGGGAACATTTATTTTCTCTGATGTACTTTCACACTTGCATAATAACGCTCAAAATAATTTTTTCACCTCTCCCCAGAACTCAACCTTCTCTTTAACCGATTCGGTCATTTTATGGCTAGATTGTATAAAGTTTACCAATCTTTTGATTTGAATACATTTCAGTCAGTTTTCAATTAAATCAAATTCCAATAAAAGCATAGACACGTACAAATAAAAACAGATACACACAAAGCGGATGCATATAATTAGACATAGAATCACGGATACCATGCATGCATTAAAGACAAAAGCGGTCTTCTCAAGAATTTTAGAGTGAAAATTGAATTAACAAGAGAAGTTTCCTAAATTTCCTCTTAAAACTATTACAAAAAAACGAAGTGATGTGAAATTATTTTTGGAGAGAATTATGATCACCATCTGTTATAAGCAAATCAGTAAATTATTTTATCCTGCGTATATAAGTGTAAAATTAAGAATGCAGAATGCAGAAAAAGAAAGGCACCTCCCGCGGCAAGTATAGTACCCATTTTACACATGGGTGGAGAGTGGCAAGTGCTGGTTAATATCTTGCCACAGTGTCGTGTCGGGATTCGAACTCTCGACCTTCGCATCTTGAGGGTTATACGTGGTCTTAGGCGGTACCGTCCCCTCTCTGTCTTCGAAACTCATGTTGAGTCGTATCTATGTGTAGAACTACAAAAAAAGAAAGAGGAACTATCTGCGAAAGTTGGGAGGAACAGACGAAAAAACGAACACCTTTCCCTCCTCCCAGATCCCTTTAATTATATCCCCACACCACAGCTGCAAAGACCTGGAAGTGTTCGACGTCAAGGTATGCTATAGGTTCTGCGTCCAGGCCCGGCTTGTGTAGTGACTCGATGATGATACTGATATTATTTGTACATGTTGGGGTTAGTACAGCAGAAGGAAATAATAAGTTACATTTTATACACAAATTATGCATTTTTGTATTAATTTTCAACAATGTTACCGAGTCTCTTTAGTATTGTAACTGCTTAAGTTCTTGAAAGTCTGTAGAATTGTGTGTAGAGGTCTATGTGGATAAATATTTAGCGGGAAATGAAAAGGAACAGCGAACGGGTTTAATAAGAAAACTGGTGTCCGTGTATCTCTTCAATAACAGCAGCCTTGTTGGCATAGTCGGCAGCGAGTGAGTCTCATGATTTGAAGGTCGTCTGTTCGGGCCTCACATAGGGCAGGTTGCTGGAAATATACCTTTTTGCCTTCACTTCGTATTTCATGTTAAAAAATATATTTTCCATAATTTATACATTCGGCTATTAAACTTCATGTATGGCCACTGTCGTCTTGGTTTCAGGTTTGAAATTCAAATCCGTCTCCGTCCTGCCTCTTTCCCTTTCTCCCTTTCTCCCAGCTATAATACATGCCGGAATACACGTGTGATCGCCTCGCAAAGCTTGCCTGTTGCATATTCATGAGTTGGGGGGCACATGCGCATAACGCGTCATGATTTGTGCATGCCCAAAGCTAAGGGCATTGGCGTAGGGTCAACAAACTTAGATATGATTTAACCACGAATTCTCTACCCTGATTGGTTTAAAGTTTGTAAACATAAGGGTCTGTGCGCACGAACGTATTGTGACCATTATGACGTAACTCTGTACGCGTATCTTCTGGGAGGGAGGCTTTCCCCAGTAACACATTGTTTGGTATGCTTCACATTGTTATTGTGTTCAAGCTATACAGCCGCATAATATATCGTGTTTATCAATATCTTTTTTGATGATCAAATTCAGGTAAGAACATTGTTTTGTTACAATCTCGATTTCAAAGATCAACATACTTTGAGTGTTTGAATGCTAGATCACTATAATGTTTAATCAAAACTTAAAATAGTTGAAATTACTAATAACGTTAACTCTAAAAAGCTCAACTGACTGAAATCATTGAAGTCATCTCACGTGCCTTTGCTTGTTCGTGTGCTCATCCACTAAAATTGACATTAGATGTATATTCGATACGGTTAAGTCATCGAAATATTATTCTTTTGTTACAGAATGTCTGATATATCACCGAATCGTCGTTTATTCGAATCTTTGCTGAAGAAAGACAACACCCCTATCTTCAGTCGAGATATTATCAAGGATGCCAACATCGGAGCTCGGGTGATATATCCTTAGAATTCTTCTTGAATAATTATGATGATGAGGATGATGATGATGATGATGATCTTAACATTATGGCAACAAGAATTCTGCTTAAACTATGATTTCATCTGTTTTTAGTTGACATTGCCTCTCTTATCGAATAGTAAAAACCGGTAGTAGAAGTATATAGTAGTAGTAGTATTAGTAGTAGTGGTGGTGGTGGTGGTGGTAGTAGTAGTAGTAGTGGTGGTGGTGGTGGTGGTAGTAGTAGTAGTATTATAAGTAGTAGTGGTGGTGGTGGTGGTGGTGGTGGTATTAGTATTAGTAGTAATAGTAGTAGTAGTAGTAGTAGCAGTAGTAGTAGTACAGTAGTAGTAGTAGTAGTAGTAGTAGTAGTAGTAGTAGTAGTAGTAGTAGTAGTAGTAGTAGAAGTAGTAGTAGAAGTAGTCTGGAGGGAATTGAATTGAATTAATTGGTTTGTAACTTTTCAAGGATACGTTTTCATGTCCATGAATATGAAACTGAAACAAAATGTTCTCGTACAAAACATATACATGTACATGTACATGTATGTAGCAAACGTGAATGAACGAAGGGACAACCTGATTGCATGATAAACAAATGAGTGTCAAGCTTGATGTATTTCAGTTGTAACAAAGACATTAGATAAGAAAGGGTGATTGATAGTTACATACTGCACATGGGGGAGGGAGAGAGAGATGAGAGAGAGAAGAAGGAGGGGAACGGAGTTGGGTGTTGGGAGAGCCCTGCTTTTCCTAAATACATGCCTATCAATATAAGTTTACACAAAAAGATGATGCCAAGTCAATGATTTTCTATATACCGTCAATAAAATAGACACAATTTCATTACACTTTTTCTGTCGTTTTCTGCTCTTTGGTTTAGGGATTGCCTGATTTCATAGTGCGTGCACAATCCACTATCAAGATCCCAGCCGCGCCCCCTATGATAATCTATCGTATGAATGGAATGACGCTATGGAACTGCTCTAAGAATGTAAAGGTAAGTAAGCAGTTTGTGATTTGGCGTAATAATGTTTGATTCAGATCCCTAACTACATGTACTACAGATGTATGAGTATAGAAAGGGCAACATTTTCTGCACTTCTGCACACACTGCATTCTTTTTTGTTGTATGGGCATATTGATTTCCATTAAAGGAATTTTAAAAAAGGAAAGAAGTTTCAAAATCCTTAACGTGGCAGCATGGTAAGAGGTTCGAAAATCGTTGTACATGTATCTCGATGATTAATTTTTCTCTACTTTTCAACTAAGTACCTACCTATGTATTTGTTTTTCAGAGACATTTGCATTTCATTACACCAGTGTAGCATTACTAGAAAGATATTTGTTGTTGCAAACTCTACGAAAAAAAAATTATGAGTAAAATTGCTGTATTTTATTTTTGATTGTAAATTCACTTTTCATTTAATTTCCTGGACCCCAAGGTTGATGTAGACTAAGGGTCCTCTTGTATAGCAAACAGATTAAAGAACGTACTTCCTTTTCTTATACATGAAAACCAGAAAGGCTTTATGTC